CCTAATTTGGCAGAAAAGTCAAACCCACCTTTTGTTAACAATAAAATAAGATATTAACTCTACCTTGGGAGGTTTTACAAAGCGGTTTTTTTCTCTTCATTTTAACCTAAACTCACCCTCCGTGGTCAGTATTGTGTAAAAGACGAACAAAGAAAAAAGATGAATCTGGTGGCTTTAAACAAATGGTCTAACTGTAAGCTAAGGAGGAGGAAGAAGAAGAAGAAGAAGAAAAAGATTAAAGATAATAATGATGGCGAAAAGGTTTTTATAAAGTTGAGTCTAATAATGTTTACAGAAAAAGCAGGTAAAATTTATGAAACTTGGGAGGATCTGAAAGTTAAGTTGTGGCCTTGCTTTACCATCATCATTATCATTTTTACTTTCCACTTCTCTGTTAATTAACTCAATTGATGTTATCGTTAATTAAGATGCTTCCCTTTGATTGTCTCAATTAACTTTAAACAAAGGTAAAGATACAAAATGCCGAACGAAAAAGGAAACCAAAAAGATTGGAAAAACGCTTTAAAAACATATTCATCTTTTCATAACATTTTCATCATTCAATTGCAGTCGATTAACATTTTTAACGGGAAAATGAATCAAAACTCTTAGTTGTGCCAGATTTTTGTGGCCTTTTTAACGCGTCGTAATTTTTCATCTTTTATGGTTTATCATCTGTTGTAATTTGGCCAACTTTGACCTTTTCATTGGTTTCGGGAAAGAGTTCAGTTAAGTCTCTTCTATATTAAAAGTTTCTCATGTACCAATGATGATTGCAATTGAGATAATAAAAAAAGTCTTGTTTCTCAAGAAAATGAAATTTGGCCTTTTTTGAGGTTTCACTTTTTGCTCGACCCAACCTTTTCATTAACCTCAGCTTTTACCTTCACAGACCCAACTAATTGAATTAGTTGATTGTTGAGTGAAAAAAAGTGTCTCAATGGCTAAGTCCATAGAAACTAATTCAATTACATTTTTTTCTTTTCAACTTTTCCACCAAAATTGATACCTTTACTAATTTTTTTTGTTACCAGCCTTGATCAACCTTTTTTGTTTGTTTTGATAAAATCATTGAACCTTTAACCAAAAGTTGGTTTAATAGCAAGTTTGTATCAATCGATTGATTGATTTATCACTTTTTACAATTTTCAAGTTCCCCTGTGATTACATTGAAACTGTAAAAATGAATAATGTTGATTAAATAAAATCATTTGCTATTCAAAGATTTGCCTTTTCCAGATTACCTTTTGTCTTTTCTCATGTAAACATTTGGATATTTTTATGCCAATTTAATAACATACAATTTAATTCAATTTACTTGATTGAAAATAGCAAAGAATGTAATTCAATATAATCATTAAACTAAATGTATTCAATTATATTTTAGGTAATCAAACTATTGAATGCCAAATGCAATTTACATGTTTCAACTTGATTGAATGAGGATCAGGTTGATGATTATAATGAAGATGTTTCTTGATCGTTTAAATATTTAGCTTGTTGATTAAGTTTATTAAATAAAGCTATTGGTAGAAAAGGGAAAATTGATGAGCGAACTCGTTAAATTCAAATTTCATCGACAGCTTTTTCCCCTTCGTTTCTAGGGCTACAATTAAAATCATATTTAATTTTATTTTGTACCAAGTAATTATCAAGATTCTTGTCTTTCATGATGATAATGATGTTAAAACAGCTTTTAGTGTTTTCCTTTAATTGCAGTTATGATTTACAGATTGAAGGTTGAGTGTTACAATTGGCGTGTTTCCGTGTCTATCAATAATCATTGATTGTAATTGATTTTGGATTCTCGGTGGGAAACCATTTTAAATTGCTCACCATTGGGTGTAACTTTGATTGGTTGAAATTAAAGATGCCTTTCCATTTACGATATTTAACTTGTTAATTAACTTGTAAATATTGTTACAATTTTTACTTGTTAGATGGACAATTGGTTTTGAAAATTGTTGCCTTTCAATTGTTTAATTCAATTTTCTGTTTGTTTGTCTTGTGTTACCTGTTTAATGCATTATTACATAGTTAATCATTAATTTCATTTTAAATTGTGAGAATCAAAAATAAGTGTTGAGATTGCTTTTCTGCTTTCTCTGACTTCTTTCTTATTTAATGAATTTAGCTGATGATATTAATGATAATACCTTTGTAATCAAAATGAAAGGTTGGTTATTTTTTTATGATTATCATGATTATTTTCATTATTATTATTATTATGACCATTATTTGGAAGCGTTAGGAAATGTTTGTTGGAAGGGAAAAACTTTTTTTTTCATCTTCTTCTTCTTTGCCTTCAAAATAACCGGTTACAATGATAATGATGGAGCTTGTGGAGGAGGTTCAATGAAAATGATATACTTTAACCACCCAGCTTGTAACATCAATTTAATTAAATTATATTTTGATGTCTTCTTTGCCGGCATCAGCATTGTCATCATCACCATCATGTTAATAATCATTATCTTTCTTTAGATTATTATTCTTGGTATTACATTGGTCTTTTTGTTGTTGCTGATGTCCAGATAATAGTTTATAGCAATCCAAACCAATGGACAACCAACTTTCTCTGTTAGCGTCAAATGGTGAAATCAGTGGTCATGATGAAAATTAAAGATGATCAGATTTTCGGTGAATTCAAGATTGAGCTAGAACAGCCGAATCAACATTTTTAAAATTTGGATTTCAATCTCTTTTTTGATTGAAGACTCGCTTTTCAGAATAAATGAATGTAAAAATTTTAAAAATCACTTTAACATTTTAATGAATTTAAAAACAATTCCATCAACATTTCCAAAACTATGGCCTCAGGAAATCGATTTAACGATAAATATCGTCATGTTCATAGTCAATTATTAATAATATTCAAGCAAACTAACTTGAACTAATCTAACTAACTAATATTGTATTTGATTTATTTTTCTTAAACACTTTCCAGGTTAACACAATGTAAAAATTTACGCTAAAGCCAGAGTTGCAAAACGCAGAGTTGCCCGAATTTGGTTGACCTCTAGGATAAAAATATTTCGGATACTTACTTGATACGACTAGTTATAGATTAGTTGTAAGCTAAAATTGTTTCTCCTCGAAACTTCTAATGAACTAAAAGTGTCATTTTCATACTTTCTGTGAGTCAAACAATTTTTAGTGTTTCAAATGCATAAGGCAGATTCATGTTGTTGAGATTGATGAAACTAAACAGCCACCAGCTTTTTGCGATTGAATTAACCTACAATTTAGAAAAGTCAAATTTAAATTGTTATCTTTAAACATTTCTTTTCCATTCTCTTACAGTGGAAGCGGAAAAAAGTTGGTTGATTGAAAGGTTGGAAGCAAAGCAAAGGTGTCAAAAAGGCTGTCCACTGACCCAAAAGGGTGGAAACACTTTTCACCTTTACCTTTACCTAGTCTTAAATTAGCTGGAAAGTAAAAGGTCCAAAGACATGAAAGTAAACCTTGAATAGGCCATTTATTAGCCCTCACAAGAGCGCAGACACATACATAGCAGTTGAAAGAAGTACACTTTAGACAATTAACTTGGCAAACTGAATACCAATTGGCAAAGTAAAGGGCTAAAAGTAAGAAAACAACTCGTCAGATTATCCTTGAACAGTCACCATGAATCACTATAATCACCATAATCATCATAATAATCATCATAATAATCATCATAATAATAATCATCTCCATCATCATCTTGAAAAGTAAAACCTAAAAACAGTTGAACATTACAACCTAAGCAAGTGACTCTTTTCCCAATCAAAGTGTTACCCAAGACCTCTGTTTTTACGTTAAATACATACTCTTGTGATCACCATTTAATTGTATCATCTTGACTCACATAAAATGGTTCATTCCATTGATAAATTAATATAATTCCCTTCACTGTATGAGGTAATTCATTTAGAGTAATCAGAATCACCTTTAATATATATATTTATATACATTTTCCTCTTCCTCTTTGCTCAACAACAGTTAACGGTAGGAGGTCAATTGTAACATTAAACTGACCAACTTAAGATAACTTTTCATTTGGATTCACCATTAAAAAAACGCTATCATTTCAAATGGTTAGTACTCTCTATTACAATCCATGTTTCCGTTTTAACCTTATTTTACCTCTTAAAATGTAATAAGAATCACGCCTGTGATAATCACAATTGGATAACCATTCATTCATTGAGCGTTTTTCATTGAGTCAAAAATTGCACAAAAAGAAGCGAAATAATGGAATCTAAATTTTTCTCAAATGAAATGTCAAATTAACTATTTTTCTGAAGAAATTAAATTTATCTTGAATGAAATACTTTTGCTAATTAAAATGTAAGAATATGATCGTTAATCAATCAAAAAAAGGTAATCGAGAAACAAAGGTTAACTGCGTTAACTGTTAAATCATTTGATAAACAATGTTAACCTTATTTTTGCTTTAATTTATTTCCTCTTCTTATGGCTAAATCTAATTGATTGAAAATGTGTTGTAAAAGTTGATTGATCAACAGCGTTTAGGAAAATGTTCAATTTCAAAACAAGAAACTGTCGACAGGCAATCAAGTTTTTTTACCTGTCTCTATTAATGGAAAAGGCAACTTTTGAATAATGTTGAAGGGAAAGTTGAACGTAAAAAAATGGAAAACACGATTCCAATGGATTGCCAGTGACTCTATTGATCAGTGTTAATGATGGACTATTAAATGATGGACATGATCAACGTGAGAGATAATGTGAGATGATGATGAGAATGATGAGAATGGTAATGATGATGAAGATGATAATGATGGTGACGGCAAAGATAAGCTACTGACCACACACAAATACTGGTAAACAGTGCATTTTTGGTTGATCATTTTTAACCATCTTTTTGGTTCATCATTGTGTTAACAGAAAGGTTTGACTTTTCAATGTTAAAGAAAATCTTTTCAAATCATTTTATATTCAAAACAACAATTTATTTAAAATAATATAAAGTTAATAGTCAAAGGTAACAATAATTTTGATTGATAAAAAAGCTCAAGATACAAATGTTCATATTCAATTCAGGCGTCAAGAGATTTAAGAAGATTTCACTTTTTTCGTTTAATGTAGTTGCTTCTTGGGTAATGATGGCCATTGTAATGGTTTCTGTAATGATGAAGGGAATGATCGTATCGAGAGTGATGATGATAGTGGGAATAGTTTGGATGGTGATAGTTGTGTGGGTAAAGATGGTTATGATGCCCGTGATGGTGACCTCCATGGTCAAGATATATAACTGCATTTGACTTTTGTGGACTAGATTTGTGGAGAAAGTGAAGAATTTCCCATTTTCCTGAACGATTTCCGGGTAAAATTACTTGACAACGAGCTTCCACATTAGGCGAGTAACCGGAATGCCTTACATGTGAACACTTGAAATGGGTTGGTGGAAGGTGGCTCAGTATTGGATATCGATGATCATATGAGTTAGAAAAGGAATTGTCATGATAACGGTGATCTGAATGTGAAATGTAAAAAGGTGAAAAGAAAATAAATTTAAGTTTGGGAAAAATCTTGCTAACACTTTTCTACTCACCATAACCATGAGAAGTTCTTGGAACCCTTAAATTGCCTGAAACCATTTCACCATTAACTGGTTCACCGGGAATATCTTCAATGGGAATCTCTTCAACATCACTTTCAGGATTTTCTGTAACACTTGGTTCATCCAAAGCCTCTGGGTTTTCTTCAGTTTCTGGGTCAACAACAAGCTCGCCATTTGTAGGTGAATCACTTGAGACTGGTTCATCAACAACAGGATCAGTTATTTCCTCGCCATTATCCACCGAATCCACTCGATCAGAATTTACTTCTGGTTCATCTGAATGGAAGAACAAAAAATGTTAGTAAAAATTAGAAACAGAAAGCAAAAATTGAACGACATCACCTGATGGGTAAGAATGAGAACGATGTATTTCATGGTGATGATTGGGATAATTGTAATGGTGGCCATGATGATAAAAGTCGTCTCTTGTTCCATAGTGGTGAGGATAGTGATGGCCATAGTGACCATACCCGTGACCATAGTTGTGTCCATGGTGAGGATGATGGTGGTTGGACCTGAAATCGTGGTATGAATCTAAAAGTAAGGTTCCATCACGATTAGTCTCTGGAGTGGAGACTCGAAACGAATCGAATGAAGCTGAAGTTTTCGTTTCATTCAATTGTAAAGATTTTCCATTTTCTAACTTTTCCTTGGCAATCAGAGATGTTTTTTCACCACTCAATGGTGCAGCTTCAAGGGTTGACCAAAGCACAGCTACATTGATAACTAGAGTGGAAAGTGTTGGTTAGTTGGTTAAACCTTTAAATAATCAAGAGTTTAATTACCTGTGGCAATAAACTTGTGACCATCCATTTTCATCATTTTTATAGCAAAGCAAATTTTTGTTTTCACTTTTCACTGATCGTTTACAATTGAATCTAGTATCATCCTGGAGAAATGATTGAGTTTAAATACTAACCAGAAAGTGAGAGGGAAATGAAAAGAAGAGCAAAAATGTTCGATTATGGTGAAAAATTTCGATTGATCTTGGTTGACCTTTTAATATGAAAAAAACCTGGAAGCCGATTCCGTGGTCAAAGTCAAATACTTATCAAAGGAAAACAAAGACAATTGATGTTTATTGAATTTTGGGTTGAACCAGTAAATTATTAATTTTGCCTCTTTTTCATTGTTTTATCAATCACAATGTTGATTAAGAGAAAGTGAATTTAATATTTCCAACTGAGCTGAAATGAAACTTGACCCAGAGTAACAATTGTTTTTGGCCATTGTTGTGATCAAATTAATTGACCTAAAAACCTTTTCCTGGTAAAGAGCAACTATCAATTTCTCGACGAGCACCAACATGAAAAGTTGATTTAAAATAATGTTTCAATTCTTGTTCATCTTTTCCATCAACCAGTGGACAAGCAAGACAGATAAAAAGAAAGATCAAGGATAAGAAAAGAAGATGAAAAGAAGAGAAAGCAACTTCTCTGGTTAAGAAAAGTGAAGAAGGTTAAATATGTATGTTGAGATAATTTTTGCTGCTCTTGCCAATAATAGTTATAATTATAAGGCATCAGGCTAAAGATGATGATGATGATGAAGAAGAAGAAGAGAGAAAGAAAAGGTTCTTTTCTCCAAGTTGTATTCCTCATCTTTTCATCTTCTCAGTAACAAGAAATGCTAATGATATAGGTTGAACTATGCCTTACGGGTAAATGTTGTTTGTAAGCTAAAGGCAATTGATGCCGACGGTTTACGTTTGTTTCATTCAACTGTTAAGGTAAGTGTTTATCATGAGCTTGAAGAGCCTTTTGCCAACCTAAGAGATGTGCTCTAACAGCTTACGCTTAGTCTCTCTTTCAGTCTCCTTAAGTTGATCCATTATTTTAGGTGTGAAATGGGAGGATCGAGATACGTTAACTTAACCAATATAAGTTTTACTTTATTATTAGTTTTCCTTTAACCTCTTCTCTCTTCATCATCATCATAATCATAATCATCATACCTTTACCAGTCATTATTTTCATTATTTTCATCATCCATTAACATCATCATTGTTCAAAGTTGTTTATCACAGTTTTGAAAAACCTTTTCTTACCTTCTTCGATGAAGATATCGTTACAGTCTTTTGATTGCTTCAAAGTTATTGATTTGCTGGTTAAAAAGTCAATTAATCATTGCACAAAGACTTGCAATCAACTCCAACTCAATGGTAAACATTATTTTGCTGGTGAAAATTTTCGGTCACTTTTTTATTTGTAAAATTGAAGGGGAAAATATTTAAAAAATTTGACTCTCAGTTGATTCTAGGTTAAATTGGGTTGCAATTGGGTTACTAGTTTTGGGATTGTTTTTATAAACAGAAATGCTTTCCAGATTGATTTGTCAATTGGAGGTCCTGTTGAAGTGACACTTGACTCTGTTGCAAATTGACTCTCAGTTCATCATCCTCATCAGCAAGAACAATGTTTGCCTTTTCAAAATCAAAAACTCAATTTACATTTTCATTGAACCCTTATAATCATTATACTGACGACAACGTTATGGGAGGTCAAACCTTTAAGAAAGGCAAAAAGACGAGAAGACAAAAAATAACATTTCCCTTCATCTCAGCCATCGCTTTAACCATCAACTTAATCAATCAGCAAATATACTCTTTAACATAATTGTTTAAGCACAATGTTGAATTGTTAATTAAGATTCACTCTGTTTTCCTACTTATCGCAATAATTAACAATTAAAATGATTCTAATCATCATAACAAATCTTAACAATCATCTTCATCTCCTCTCTAACCACATCTCATCTTCAATCTCATCTCTTCCTCAACATCATTTCTGTTCATTAGCACAGTAAACCTAGCATTTCAATTTTCATTTTTTTCTCATTCAACAGCAAAAAGTTTTTACTAATCTATTTACAATCAACCTTATTATCTAACTTAACATTCCTTAATCATCGCCAATTAACCATCATTAAAACAAGTTATTCAAACTATTAACTCAACCTCCAACTGTTGAACGACTATTGCCTTTTTACCATTTTTTTACTTTTATTTTACATTGAAACATGTTAAACCTAAAAATGAAACAGTAACTTTATAATGGTAATTCAATTAAAAGAAAAGGTAAAAGCATGATTTATTGATTACATTATGATTTCAGTAGGGGAAAAAATCAATCATCAGCATCACCTTGAATCGAATCTTATCCAACCTTATAATTAACTGTAATATTAAACTTGAAAAAAATGATTAAAATAATGATGATGATGTTTCCAAGTCATGTTAACTGTCAGTTAACTGCATCCATTTACCCTCCCAAGGCTGTAAACCCTTGAGCTAGAAGCTCACTTGTCTGACATCAACTTTGACTCTCCTTTTGGTCAACCAATTGTTTCTCTTGGCTGTTACCATCAAATGTCAACCGATTAATTAATCAAGAAAATTTCATCCAATATCTTTATTGTTTAACCTTAAATTGTGAGAAACAAAAAAAAACCATTTCTTGTCTAAACATCATCATGAAACTGTTGATTAATATTGATAGGTTAATCAAGAGTTATTAATTAATTATCTTGTTTCAACATTTTTTCACATTTTTTTCTCAATCTTCTGTTCCTTTTTTCTTCGGCTTCATTTTCATATTAATTTTTAACAAATCATTAAGAAGTTAATTTATTTTGTATATTATTTGAGGCCAAAGGAAAACAATTAACACTCCATGATACACCTACAAGTATTCATTTGGATGAGATGATTAATTTAATGATAATGTTGTATCACTCAATTAGCAGGAGAAACAAAATTGAATCTAGATTTTGATGGAACATAATTTTTTGTCTTCCATTGAGAAAAGACAAAAGTTGATGAAACTTGTGAAAATGATATTGATTATCATGTTGATGGTGATGATGATGATGATAATTATGATAATTATCATGATTATCATGATATTTTGAATGATTAAGACGTCAAAGGAAAGAGTGGTTTATAATCGCAAACCATATTAAGTTATCATGATTGATTCATTGAGGAGAAGCTTGAAAATTGTCTGTCAATTTGATTTTTTTAATAACATTTCGGCTTCTTCTTAACTCTTCACATTTTTTCCGGCAATTTAAGTTGATCCATTGTTGATGAAAATTTCACCATTTAGGTCAACGATTGAGAGTTCATTTTATTCCTCAGAATCATAGAGTTATTCATGATTCATAATGTGATTAAAATGTATTCAGGAGCGTCAATAAAAGCTTAATAATAATCAGAAAAATGTTGAGAATAAAGTTATCTATCAAATGAATTTAGTAAATTGCTATATTGTAATATTATACCGTCTTCCTATCATCATTATTATCTTTTAATGTGCTGTTTGTTTTCAGGTTAGGTTGATAATAAATGGGAATTAAATTGCTAAAGGGAATTGTTGTGTGCTAAGAAAAATGATTAACTTTGACGGTGATGAAGAAGAGAATTGATAATTGTGATGATGATTATGATTATGATGATAATCAAGGTAAAACCATTTTACAAGTTTACAATTTTATTCATTCAATCAAGATAATTGGATTATTGTTTTTAATTTAGCTTGCTTCACGATTATCATGTAACGATGAAATGACTCTACTTCAAGTCTAACAATTGTAAGACAGAAAAATCAAAGTTTCATCTTTTGATAACATGTGGTAAAAGCGGTGAAACTTGACCAAAATACCTTTTGGTTCAAGAATTTGATACGATGAGCAACTGAAGAGTTCATCTGAATTTTTCACTGAGTTAAAGTTTCCTTATCTAGTTGTGCGAATTCAAAACTTTGCTTTTTAAACTTTTATTGTAATTAAAAAGTTTGCCGGTTGAAGTAAAGTAGCTTGTAGGTGTAGTTGTTGGCTTGAATTGGTTAAACTTGAAAGATTAACGAGATTTATTCAAAAATTGGATTTTTTGGTTAGATTCAAGATGATGAATTGGATAAGAAAAAATAGTTTTGATAGTGGTTTACCAATGTCTGGGGTAACCGTCATTAAATGAGTCTGTTTTTCGCTCTTTTGTTAGGTTTTTTTCAAGTTATTTCAGGAACTACTTGACCCATCATTAAACCGATTGATGATCAGCATAATGTGTTTAACCTGAAAAACATAAGTTTTACAGAAAAATATTTTTAAGGCCATTTTCTCGAAAACGGCTTCGAATAGAATAAAATGGATTAGACCATCTTGTTTCTCATCTCATTACATATAAAAAATTGTTTTGGAAAGAATCGATTTCAAGGCCTTTTCCCCTATTCATTTAGTCCTCATCTTTTCGTTAGCAAGTTTTTACTTTTATTAAATTTCTCATTAAAATTGAAATATTTTTTTTTTCGGAACATTTTTTGAACAGCCCAGTGTAATTTATTGGATTCAATTAACAGATTGTATTACTTTAATGTTAGCCTGAGGTGGAAATTATCAGCTTTGGTGTCAACCCATTTACACTGAACACGCCAAAGGAGAGGTTTGAGCCCTAAACAGCCCAAGTCAAAACAGGCAAATACTAAGCTGCTTAAATCAAATAAATTATTTAAACAAGCTGAGCCACGATCATGACTGATCGTAAATTTCTTTTCACTGAATACAAAAAATCCAATCCACATTTAAAAATTCAAATTATTGATGAAAAACAATTGTCAATGAGAAAAAATAAAATAAAATTTGGTTCAACAGTAGAGGCAACATATTTTTTGCTTAACTCTTTACTCGAAAAATGGTTTTACATATCCTTATATAATTTAACAATAAACCAACAATCAACCTGAACAACCAAAAAAGTTTTTCCCCCAAAGTCAATGGTAAAAGATACGGATTCTGCATTTTTTCCCCTACCCTGTTTAAACGCTAATTTCTCAGGTACCTGAATTCCGATGAAGTTCTGACTATTTTTCGTGGATGTAGTTTTATCATGGCTTTCAGGCTGTGGAAAAATTTTCTTTAGAATCCTTTTAGTTTGGCCACAATCTTTACGCAAAAATTTCATGTTTTGACTTTATATATGGTATAGATGATCAGATTTATTGAAGGTATCAAAAACTATTTATGTTTGCATTAGTATTGACTTCTGCTTCAATTTTGAATAAGTTTGACTCAATCAAATGACTCAATAATTTTAAGGACACAAGAGCATCGATATAGGTGTATGTAGACCATTTTTTGACTCGATCGGAGTTAGTTAACTATAATTAATTAGTTTATCAATATCCATAGAAAGGTTTTTTTGACTTTTTTATGCTTTGAATTGGTATGATTTAAGCTTTGTTTTCAACTGTTTTGGCCTTACCCAAAGAAGAGTAAAGGCCGATCCGATGAACTAAAATGTTTGTTAAAATTAATCAATTTTGATTAATGTCATTTTAAATCTTAACTAGAAAGCGCCATCTTTTGTTTTTTAATGATTTTAAAAGATAACTAAAAATAATTTATAATCAAAAGATAAGAAATTTAATCTGAAATAATCTGAAAAAATGTGAAGGCGCATGAATGAAATGATTGTTAATTTTTTGATCGGACAGTGTTAATGTTGCTGACGTAATAAAATCAAACAAACATTGCCAACTAACAAAGATTTAACCAACATTTTTAACATTTTTTGGTTCATCGGATCGGCCCTAAGAAGAAGAACCGAAAACAAGATTAGCTGATCAACTTATCAAAATGAAATGGATTAATTATTAAAAAAATTAATTTTATCGCCCTTCTCTATCAGCCTCTCTTCATCATCAAATTTATCACCATTATCATCCTGACCGTCTAATGCCCTGAGTTGATATTTAATGAAGGAAAGTGAGACGCACCCAAAGAAGGTGAAACAATTTTATTTACCTGATTAACTTTTCTCGTTTACCTTTTACCGATTTTAAGGTAAAAGTAGAGTTGATTATAAACCAATAACAGATCAACCCCTTCCAACCCACACAACCTCAACTTTTGTTACTATTCAACAATCTCAATATTTGATAATCAATCATAGTTGCGCTAACCATTGTTCAAGCAAATATTAGCTTACCGAAACAATCAATTGATCCACAAATTTACCGAATTTATCAAATGACTAAACTTGATCCAAATAAGCAAGTTCACAAATGTTACTCAAATTTACCAATAATTTCAATAAGAAGGATTTTCAAATTTCTTTGAACATTTTTGCTAAATTGGTATTATTTTGAGAATCAGCATTAAATTTTACAAAAGAAACACTATTTTCAAAATGATCTGAAAATAGAAACTTCTCATTGCAATGAACAAGGAAAAGATGAAACTAAGGAATTGAATTGTAATGAAAGAAATGACTGATTTGATTGAAAAATTGGTTTTGTAATTTTGATAATTTGTAATTAGTTGATTCATTAACCAAATGTGAAACCCAAAAGTTGAAAAGGAAAAGTAAATTTACAAGAAAAAATGGGTTTATCCTCAATTAGTTTGATTTAGTCGGATTTTGTCACTTGACTTCTAGCTGTTAGTGAACAGTGAATACACAATGAAATGTCTTTGTAATTAGTTGATCAAAGTTAATCAACAAGCGATTACAATTGTTGAAACAGTTTCTTGTCTAACTGAAGCATGATGATGGCAAAAGATTTGGACAGCAAAAAAACAAAAGCAAAACAAAACAACTGTGTTAACATTGAAGTGGAGCAAAGTGTAAAAATGTGTCTATTTAAACAGTCCAAGAAGACAAACAAAGACAAGACTGATTGTATAATTGTAAATCTCATTTGCAAATCTTAATTCAGTTCAGTTGACTTTTCGCCTTTACAAGAGTTCACAGTTTTTCACCACATTTATCTGCCATTTTACAGTTTCACACCGGAACAGGAATTACGGATGAAACCTGCCCTTTTGATGCAAGAATAGGAATCAGAAGAAGAAGAAGGAGAAGAAGAAAACAAAAAATTGGGGAAAAAGTAACTCTGATTTTATCAGGCAAATGCATTAAACACACATTCAGTGATCAATAAGTTTGATTGAAATGGACTGAAATTAAAGCACAATTAGGTTCATTGTTGTCAATTTAGCCAACAAATTGGTTTTATCCCTCTCGGCAACAATTGATATCTTTCAATGTAAATCTGTTCATTGATTGTGATAAAAATAAAAAGACAATTTTGGGTTCATTTTCAATCTTTAAACTGCTTTCTTGGTGACTTTCATAGTTATTCATAATCAATGTTCTGGAAAAATTTTAATTGTAAATATTTGAGGAATGTTGCCATTTAAGTTTTCAACAAATTTGCTATAAATTTTCAAGTTGAACACTTAAGGGTGCTTTTTGAGAGCTCATAAAGTTGCTTTCCATTTTGAAATGTTTTCGCAGATGATTAATCACCATCAACACTGTAGTCATCTATTGTTAGCGATTTATGCATAACTTGAATGTTGAGTGATTTTGTTAATGAAAACAGTTTTGGTTTGAGTGTTTATTAAGGATTATTTGTTGAGATTAGTAAATGGCCAACCGTAAAGGCTCTCGTTTTGATAAAATGTTGGAATCAATGATTTTTCACTTTTTTTTCATCCGACTCAAGCTTTTCCAATTTCAACTGCCAACCAAAATAATAGATGGGAAATTGGTTCATCTTTATCCTAATTGATTATTTGGTGAGAATCTGATTGGAATTGTTTGAACATTGAGAAAGTGGAAGCTCAATGAACAAGTCAACTAACCAATGTAATTATATCACCAGGTTGTTTAAATTAAAAGACTTTCAATCTAGAAATTGACTTTTCTAACATCTTCAGACTAACATCTTTGTTTGCTCAACCTTAGCCAACTACATTTGCCTTTTTTGTCCTGGGATATGAGATGGTAGCAACAAAAAAACACTAAGCAAGACCACAATAGACACTTTTTTACCGACCAATACAGTCAACATCATAATCATCAACATGGTCAGTCCTTGTGTGAAAGACAAGTTGAAGCTATTGTACCGTGTCGAGGTAAATATTGAGGCTTAACCTTATGTACAGTGTAAGATAAAAGTAAAGCAAAAAAAAAACGGTTACAATCATCTTCTAGTGACTGCCTTATTTTTACACTCTGGGACAACCAAATCATTGTTTATTTTTTTTTTGTTGACCATTGGACATTATTATTTACTGCTGCTATTTTAGCTTATAAATTATCTTGTAAACCTTGTAATTTAAATATCGCTCCATCAAGCCGTTTTATAGATACATCGATTAATCAATTGTCAATGATAGTTATAGAGGCTGTCTTTTTTTTGCCCAGTGATTCATTTGGATTGATTGAGTTTTCAATTTATGTTATTGGCTTCATATTTAACTTAGTGTTTAACTTGATTGTGGGTTTAATGCAAAATTATCAAATGGTTGTTTCACACTGAATTGGTGCGTCCGTTGACCAATGTAATCCCTGAATGGATCCCTTTCAATGTTGCCGTTATCCAGTCGCCGCCTCTTTGATCAACATTTAATCGGTAAGTTATAGTGTAAATTGAATTAGTTTTTCAACCAATTGATTGTTGGTCTTTCTCTTTTTTTCTCCCTCAAACTTTGTGTACTCCATTATTGTCTATTAAATTGACTGGAAGTAAAAAATCAAGCTTATAATATGAATTGGACAAATAAACAAGTTTACACTTTTTGCGTTTGTTGGATGTTCAATTGAGTATAGAATTATTATAGGATTCATCAATTTTTGTCAGATGTTATTCAATGTAACATTCACTGTTAGAATCAACTTTTTTATCGCATTTCTAGTTTTATTTCAGGTAACGGATTATTGAGTTTTTGCTTTTTTCAATATAAATAGTATCGATTGTTGATTAATTTTCATTGTTTTATATCAAATTTAGCTATTTGTCTTCAACTTCGCAAAGCACACAGAGATCTTTGGTGGCTAAGTTTTTCACCGTCCTATCCAGTGAATCGAAGCAACAGAAAGAAATGGGATTGGACTTTCGTTACTGGTGTGATATCAGAGCTATCTTTTGAGCATTTATCTAGGAATTATCTTCCAAAGGCAGAATAGGTACATCGGCAAATGAGATGATAAAGGAGCAAAAGTTAAAAATGACTGTTTATCGAAGAAGTTGATTTCAGATCGAGAATAATCTTCGGAATGAGTCCAAGTTTGAAAGCTGATAGCAATAAACATCTTGAATTTCTTTCTTGACAAATTTTCTGCCTTTGGTTCTTTATATCTGTAAATCGGGGAAATTAAATATTTCAGATTTAATTTTCTTTAAGGTACCATGGAAGTCCATTGCTATATTCTGTGCCGTTACAATTTCTATTCATATTTGACATGAGATTAATAGTTTAATAAATTTACCACATTATTCATTCACTTGAGCATCCAGTTCTTAAAGCTAGTTTAAAGAGATACAGCCATGAAATAGAGGGAAAATATGAAAGAATGAGTCTTATCCAAATGGAGGTAAACACATGTTGAAAAATTTCAGCTAATAATGAAGGTGAATTCATATTTGAATGGTAAATACTAGGATAAATACTTTGTTTTGTTGAGTAATTTGAGCGGAAAATAAACGAAAGCAAAACAATTTAAAATTGATTAAGGAGAGTAAAGTAATTATGAAAGCGAATAAATTTTTTTCAGATGAGTCAACCATAGACAAAGTACCCATTGACACACTATTCATCAAAATTATTGGCTTGCTAATGTGTGTACCAAAACTCATCAACAATACTAGCAACTTTTCGCCTCTTAGCCTTCGCATGTTAATCAACCTTATAACGTAGTTATTTAAAACGCGAATCAACTTTGAACACCGTTGATAGTTGTCTATATAAACAGAGTTGATTTTGTTTTTTTAATTCTGGTTAGAGATACAAAATACATAGTATTTAAGACAAGCGATTGAAGATTTGATTAAACACATTTTCTACACCTTTGTCTCGATCAGAAAAGTTGATAATTTTTTGTTTATATTCTCTTGATGTTTTCTGTTTCTAGAATTCATCAAGTAAATATATCTGCTTATAACAATTTTGTGAGCTAATGATTTGATAGCTTTTTGTGGTTAAACATAAAGAACAGAAATCGTTTTTCTCCTTTGCTTGAAAAAATCGCATCTTCTACACGGCTGGACTTACAGTTTTTGTTGATTTAAAAAGAGCTAAGATCCTTTCAACTCTTTTCACTCCACTTGGAGTCATAATATCCTGAAAAAGACAAAAATAATATTAGTTAGGATTTCATGAGATTCTGAATGATGGAAATATTTGAGAAAATAGAAAATACAATCTCAGTAGAAAAATATTTTCATAGATTGTGACTTACCGCTAAATGGGTAAACTCGTGAAGCTTTGTGAGAACATCGATCATCTTCTCGAACCCTTGAGAAGGTAGCAAATTTTTAATCATGTCACAGTACTGCATATTTTCCTTAATACCGCAACCAATGAGTAATGATATGCAGGCAGCTATTATACAATGTTCCATGTGTTTACCAGATTTAGCTAAAACCTGGTTTAAGAGTGTATCTTGCATGGCTTCAGTCAAGGGTTTATCTTGATGCGAATCCAGTAATAAGTCTGCTTCTTTATCTGTTTTTTCAGCTTCTTCGCATCTTTCCTCGAATATAGCGATGAGTTGTTTTACTTTAAAACCGCTGTCCATTAACTCATCCCGTATGTTTACACAGTATTCAACAAAATTAATCTCTAGGCACAGTAAAAGTACTATCAAGTCAAATCTTGAATCTGGAACAGTGAATGAGGGAAGTTCAAATAGACATTCCAGAAGAAGTTGAAAGAGCCCAGTGAACGAGCCAACTTTGAAACAACCCTCACTCGATTCGGAAGTAAGGTTAGTTAATACTCTCAATATGGACAGTAATGTGGACAATTGTGATTGTGATTCCGTCATAAAAATTATACTGTTCTTGAGATATTTGATTAAGTCGATACATCGGTAGATGAATTTACCACCTTGATATTCAATAATATAATTTTGGTTCTCTTGATTCATAAAAGTAACGTTTTCAATAACCTTCAGAGTTCTTTCAATCTTATGAAGTAATCCTTTGTCTACGATCTCTTCTTCCCAGACAATGTCATCACGGATGAGGCTATTGGATTCATCAATTGTTTTATTACATAAAAAATCGATTCCTTTAAGATTTCTCAATTCTTCTTTACACCATTCTCCAGCTCTTTTGGATGTTAAACCAAGCAATGCTTCCAATGCTAGTTTACCAGCTGTAATGTTATTCGAGTTAAGAAATTTTCCATGACCTTTGGTTTTCATTTCATCGCATAGCTTTTTAACTTTTTCTTTGTAATTTTTGTCAACACTATCTTCTTCTTCGTCTGTCCTGGTTTCCAGAAGCTCCAACATCAAACTGATGATGATGAAAAAGCGTAAAAAAGGTGAAAAGAATAAAAAGAGAATTAAAAAATGGCAACAGTAATTTTACAATGACGAGTTTGAATTAGATGAATGATTATGATGATCTAAATGTTTATAAATCTAACCTTGTCAAGGTAGACAGGCTTAAAGCGCTAATAAATCACGATAAATGCAAACTGAAACAAAATTCTAAATAACACTTGTTCAACAGTAAATATCGACACATAGTAGCTTAATATAAATATAGCTATTTTTGTCTTGCTTGATAGATAGCCATGAAGCATGGGAACTAAAATTAAAGGTGAAATGGTTTAAATCATCATAATCATTATCTACGAATTAATATAATACCTTAAAGCATTCGGATCTATATCCATGGTCATCCGATCTTGATTATAAACATACATGAGAGCCGAAGTACAAAGAGCTAAATTAGGATTGGAGCAGGCATCCATTAAGGCACTAATTATCTTTGGCATGTCATCATGAGCTCGAAGATGCATTCTAAATTCAGCTCGCTGACACTGATTAGCCAAACCAAGGATACTTAGACACCTAGTATTTATGTTATTGACCCGGCTCAGTCCATCAAGATAAAACTTAATATCACCATCAAACTCTTCCCTTTCACCCAATTCAGCACATTGGTGTGCCTTTTTGACCCGTCTTAGTCTAATGTAATCATCCTCATCATTTTCATGGTGGGAAGAAGAGTGTGAATGGTGTGAATGAGAATGGTGGCGAGATGACGATGATGAAGATGATGTTTGTGAAGATACTGGATCATGGGAGTGTTGATTATGGGTTGAGGTACCATTTCTTGTTGAATTTACAGATCCACTGGTGGCAACACTAGAGGAGCCATAAGAACCAGATGATTTACTATTTTTCTGGGATCCATCAAAGAAGGTATAGTCATCACCAAAGGTTGAACCACTTTCATCAAAATCTGATTTAAAGAAATCCCGAGCATTGAAGTAAGACTTTTTAACTGAATCCTGGCTTTTATTGAAAAATTTTTTCTTCTTGTTAGAGGTAGACATATCAAAAGTAATTGGTACCAATAGAATAGCTAAAATGTAACAATGATAATCAAATGATTAGTTCACAAATTCACACACATATTAACATTCGTAAGAGTAAAATAAAGTCTTTCTTACTCTCTCACACATACAAAATCTCTCTCTCTCTCTTCTCTCTATCTTTCTTTCTCTTTCTCTGTCTAGCTATTAGCTTATGACGCTTTTTCCCCTATCATTTTTTTCCTTGCTTTCTCCTCTTCCACTTTCCTTTCATGAAACATTTCAATCTTTCAAATAGACTCACCTTTTCATTTGGTTAAATAGTCATTTATAAAGTGAGAAAAAAAGATAGAGATGATGTAGGAATTAAAGATCAACCCTAAAGTTAGATTGATAAACAAAAGAAAGCTATTGGTTATACATGCTTTTGATTAACCATAAAATTATTTACTTAAAGAAGATGGAAAACAAAAGTCGATCCTTGATTAAACAAATAAAAGGCAGTAAATTTTATAGAAATTTCACTGTTTAAATGGTTTCCGTAATTAAAAAGGTGTTGAATTTCAATAAACTAAAAATCTGATGAACATTTAGAGGTAAAAATGATGAAAATTCACTTGAAATATTTTCATGAACAAGTTTAAATTGTCAAGTTGGTTATACAAAATGTCATTTATAAACGGTCCCTGCTAAATAGCACATCTTTTCAAAAGCTATTCAACACACATTATCCTCAATTGTTTTCTTTCACCATTTTAAACAAATATTGTTAACAATGGGTAAAGAATTGTCTCGACCGGTCGGTTTGTACATCTTATTTTTGTTACTCGTGTTAATTACGTTAACTGTTATGTCTTTTTTTCTGGTATTTTCCACTATTTTTCAGATAAGAAGTATTAGTGCTAGTGTTTCCAAGATTGCTGATAGAAATGTCACTTCAACAAAAATTGAAGATTTAACAGATCTTTTTGTAAAGATCCGTAAAGATTATGAAGGTGCTGCTGCAACCAAAACCTTTGCATTTAACTCTTTAAATAGAGACTTGTCTGATACCGTTAAGACTTTCAATCGAATATTTGTCTCCTTCAGTAGTTTGCTAGAGAGTCAAAAAAAAATATTCGAAACAAATGTTCAAATGTTGTTTGCTGATGTCGGTCAAACTTCGGATTTTTGCAAAAATATTTACCGGGCAAATCTTGACGCGGAATTTCAATTATACATCGTGCTAAATCAGAGGATAGACGAAGCAAAGTTGGAAGGAATAAATAAGAAATTACAAGAAGATATATTACCAAGCAATATGACATTCCTAACTGGTCCCAACTTCCAATTGAATAGCTTTCTTAAATATCGAAACGCTAAGCAAATCCATGGAGGAGATTATCTAACTAAAAGCTCTAATTTAGCACTTGATTATTTTCCCGAAACTGATCTTAGAAAAATCAAACTCAGCTCTTATACAACTGTGAATGGGTTATTTTTACTTGACCCACCAGGAACTCAAAACAGCACTAATATTGATATCTACACAAATGTGACACTTACATCTAGTGATACTAATCATCCTCAGTTTATTCATAATCTAAGTGCTTTCACTGTTTATGCTCAGGAAATTATTCCCCTCAATTGACTGGCAATTTGGTTCCTATGAACATGACAAAGACGCTATATAACTCGATATTGTACTATTCGGCTCTTTGGCAGTCATTGAAGTGATATGTGAGAGTCATCTTAATGATTAACTGGATTGCTATTATTGGGATAATGGATGGATTATTGGAAGATGTTTCTATTGCCTGAATAAAAGATTATCAAACATGACTTGGAGACTTGACCCGACTCAATGAATTAACATTTTCTCATCAAATTGCCGAAAATCTCTAAACTCTTAATTTTGCCAATTATAATTACGAGTAAAGCTAAAATTATTGAGATTGATCCATTGAAATTGATAACAATCCTGGAGATATTTTGATTCGTCATTCTATCATTGTTAAGATTGGAAATTACTAATATTTTAAATAATTTGCTATTGAAATTGTTCAACCCAAGCACATGTTTTAGCTATTCAACACACATTATCCCAAAGAGTAAAGTAACTCTTTGCATTATCCTCAATTGTTTGGTCATTTAAACCAAATACTGTTAGAAATGGCTGACAAATTGACTCGACCCGTCCTGTTGTATTTCGCATTTTTGTTGCTCGTGTTAATTACGTTAACTGCATTGGCTCTTTATCTGATTATTTACACTTCTTTTCAGATACAAAGTATTAGTTTTAGTTTTTCCCAGATTCCTGGAAGAAATGAAACTACATCAAAAATGGATTCTTTGGTAGATTCTTATCAATCATACGGTGATATTATTGCATCTAATTTTTCTCAAAGAGAGCCTACATTTGATAAGTTACATGATGATCTGTTTGAATTGATGAAGGAAATTAACAAAAAATTTTATCCTTCGTCTGTTTTGCTTGAGAAAACTGAAGCAAATTTCAAGAAAAACTTTCCCATTGTGTATGCTCAGGCAAATGATGCTAAAGATTTTTGCGATAAAGCTTTTAAAGGATCTAATGAATTGGAAACTCAAGTTGCAGATTTGATTGCTGATTTAATGTCCAAAACATTGTTGGACGGAATAAATAAGAAATTACAAGAAGATATATTACCAAGCAATATGACATTCCTAACTGGTCTTAATTTCCAATTGAATAGCTTTCTTAAATTCCGAAAGGCTAAGCAAATCGATGGAGGAGATTATCTAGCTAAAAGCTCTAATTTAGAAACTGATTATTTTCCCGAAACTGATTTTACAAAAATCAAACTTACCTCTTATGCAACTGTGAATGGGTCATTTTTACTTGACCCACCAGGAACTCCAGGCCTCGGTAATTCTATTGTCAGCACACAAGGTACACTTCCAGCTAATATTTCGTTCCCTCGTGATCTAAGTGCTTTCACTGTTTATGCTCAGGAAATTATTCCACTCAATTGACTGGCAATTTGGTTCCTACGAACATGAAAAAGACGCTATAACTCGATATTGTACTGTTCGGCTCTTTGACAGTCGTTGAAGTGCAATGTGAGAGTCATATTAATGATCAACTTGATTGCTATTAGCGGGATAATGGGTGGATTCCAACTCATAATTTTTGTCAATTATGAGTTTATGATGAGCCAAATGAATTGTCTATTTTTAATGATTGATTTGCTCGATATGATTCAGTCATATGTTAAATCAAATATTGAATGTGAAAAAACCAAGGAAACATTAGGTTCTTAGCTAAAATTATTGAGCTTATTTATTGAAATTCAAAACAATCCTGGAGATATTTTGATTCGTCATTCTATCATTGTTAAGATTGGAAATCACAAATATTAAATAAATTGCTATTGAAATTGTTCAATCTTTGAGTCATGAGCTCAGTATCAGATGATATTTCAACTGTGAAAACAGTTATCTTTGATCAGAATGAGACTGACTGAGATCTAAACACATGAGTCTTCATCTCTCTGTAATCTGTTTATTTTTTCATCCATGTTTTCAATTCTTCTCTGTCTTTGTGAAAATTAAATTAACTCGACTATTAATTTTTAATTTTACTATATGATTTTGTATTATTAAACACTTTTACTTGCTACTCATTTAATTGCAATTTCATATTTATCCTCATGTTTTTAAGCTTAGTCTAACATTTTGTACATTAATACAGTTTGCAATACATCTTAAGGTTGGTTAAGATGATTCACTTTATGCTGCTTTTCAGTCGACAAGGTAAATTGCGTCTACAATCATGGTATGTACCTGGTGCCGATAAAAACAAGAAAAAGATTACTCGTGAATTAATGACCATTACCTTGAACCGAAAAGTGAAACACTGTTGTTTCTTCGATTGGAAGGATTTAAAGATTGTTTACAAACGCTATGCTAGTCTCTACTTTCTTTGTGCCATTGAACCAGAAGACAATGAGCTGCTTACCCTGGAGTTGATTCACCGCTATGTTGAGTTGTTGGACAAGTACTTTGGCTCGGTTTGTGAACTGGACATAATATTCAATTTTGAAAAGGCTTATTTCATTCTGAATGAGTTTGTATTGGGTGGTGAAGTACAAGAAACTAGTAAAAAATCTGTCCTCAAAGCTGTTGCTAGTCAAGATGTTATTGCTGAAGAAGAAACCTCATCTCATGGTTTCTTCGAGGAACATGGACTAGGCTGATCCATTTTATGATTAGACACGATTCACTTTTCTTAAGGAAGCCTGAAGACAATGAAAATTTTTGCTCATAACAATCAGAAAATATGCATCTTAATACTTAATTGATTGTGTATAATAGTCAAGATTGCTTTCATTCCACAATCTATTGTAACTCAAAGCTATAATATAAGAAATAATAAATTCTTTATGAAAATTTTCCTCTGTTATTAACTTGAACTTCAATGATTTACTTAAAGATTATTTAACCAGTGAATTTTTGAAATAATTCCAGTTACTCTTCTCCTCTTCTCTGAAATCTGAATACATAATATGAATTGCTTGAGCAGAACCGAAAGAGTTAGATACAAAGTTCAACGTGTGGACGATACATAATAGATTATATTTAACTACACATATTTACACTAAAAATATTTTAAACAAAATTCTAATCCCATCTGTAATGGGCATATGCCTTGTTGGTTTCCGCAAGTTTGTGGAGATCATATTTTTGTTTGATAGCTTTACCTTCGCCGTTAAAGGCAAAAATGAATTCTCTAACTAGAGCTGGAACATGAATCGCTCTCCATGGTTTGGGATGATCATGAGCTGCTCGATTAATCCATTTCATTCCAATATATTCCGATGTTTTATCTAACACAGGAAAGGGAACTGAATATGTAACACCACCCTTGGGTATATACTTAGTGATGACGACTGGTTTAACATTGGCAACGGCTTTTTTCATCAAAACAAGAGGATCCAATTCAAATTTAGCCTTCTTTTCTGGAGTATCGGCAGCTCTCCATTCAGCCAGTTGTTTTTTCTTGATTAGATACATCACCTCGCGAATCATATCCTCGTATTCAGCCTTTCGTCCACTACGATGCACAACATTAACAAATCGTCTGAGAAATGGGTCATAAAAATTGGAAGCATTGTGATCATTTGGAGCAGCAATGATCGGAGAAAAAGTCAATTCTTTAAATTTATCAGGTTCCTCGTTGATGAGCTTCAGTTGATTCTCTCTCCTGGGAATCGGTCGAACATACATTGGTGGCCAAACACTCCATCTAACCTGATAAATAACAGGACTTTTGGTCACTAATTTGTTGATAAAATTAAATGACTGATAAATAGTCATGGTTAACAATTAACTTAACCAGTTAATGAAATACAAAAAAAATGCAAAACCAATGTTGCTTTAACATATGATTGGACTAATGGGAAAGTGTGAGAGTTACTCAAAATACACTAAATAACACACTTATCCAAACTTCATAATCCCCAAATCTTCACATGAATTTAACTTCAAACCTTTCTTTTGTAACATTAGATTCCTCAATTCTTATATCAAGAAGTTTCATCTTTATCTTAATTTTCGTCATCAATTGTTTAATAATCAATCAGGTAAGATATTTTCAAGATTCTAAATCCATCGTAAACATTTTGTATTGCAATATGAAAATCTGAATAAACCAAAATATTGTAATAAACCAAATCTTTACCAATCTATAGTTTGAACACTGAAAAGCTCTCGAAAAGCTTATCGAATCCTTCTGATTATTTAACTACAAGTGTAGATTCAAGAACTGATTATTATCCAGTAATAACTAATTTGTAAAATGACGAAACCCTCATCTCGTTCAGCTTCTGTTTATTTCTCTTTTTTGATATTTGTGTTGGTTTGTATTACCTTTTTGATAGTTGTTTTAATCATTGCCACTGCTCTTCAGATAAACAAAGTAAGATCTGATATAATCCAAGCATCAGATAGAAATGAAACAGCTCAAAAAATAAATTCAATCATGGATCTGTATAATTCATTCGGCGCAGCTATCAATTCGCACGTTGGAAATTATAGCAAAATATTTGCTTCCCTCAATGGTGACATTAAATCATATGGTTCTCGCATCGCCTATCAGCACAAACTTGTAACCAGTGAAGAAAAGACGAGAATAAAAATATATCAAAGTGAACATATTTCTTTCTCTAATAACGTAAATGTGATCTTTGGCTTATGTAACGCTTCATTTATCAGCTCAGATAGACTTTCGACCAAATTTGTTGTTGCCGAATCAACTTGGTCAAATTTCAATACACAAAGCGGTTTATCTAAATTTTATGATGATTTGCGTAAAATAATATTGCCAGCGAAGTCCACATTCCTTGTAAATTCAAACTTCAATACTTCGCTATTTTCTCGTAAAACAAAGCCAGTTCCAGGAGGAGATTATCTCGCTATTCATGATAACAAACCAGGAAATTATTACGAAGCAAGACCTAATCTCACTGACTTTACAAAAATCAAGTTGAAGACTACAACTGCCACCAGCAATGGACGGTTTTTCATCGAGCAACCAGGCAGCAATGTGACCAATAAAAATCTTTCCGTCAACGTTACGACTCCTAATATACAGTTGCAAACAAAATTTGATCAATTTGCTATTCATGGCGTTGAAATTACCGATTAATGAATGATGGAAAATAAAACAATTAGAAAAGACAAATTTGACAAAAATGTTGATTAGATGCTAATAAATCGGATACTTAAATGTATCAGTTACTTTCGTGTAAACTTGAAGTCAAAATCAGCCTTTTCTTGAATCCATATTTGAGTGCTTGTCGGATGCAATGTTAAGAGTAGATTGAAAAGAAAGTGATTAATAGTTGTTTGAAATCAAAAGGTTGGCAAAGAGTTAATTAGAAAATTAAGGTTATTACGGAATCGCAAGAATCCGCAATTTTATATAAAGGATGAGTCTAAAACTGACCTTTAATTGTCTTGACAACTTTCTTGAATCCAAAGCTTGATATTGAACTAAATGTTTAAACAATTATATCAAAAGAGGAAAGTTAAAATCACGTCCAAAGGCTTCCAAAATTTCCGTGACTCAGCTGCTCATCTTCACCTTCATCTTAAATTTGATAATGAATTCACAACCAGCATGTTAAACATGAATCCTTGAAGTGTACAGCTAATTACTCAGAAGCCAAGATATTAGAATTTTTTCCCGTTGTAATCGATTCCTAAAATATAAAATGGTAAGAAAAGATCATTAATTTAACCAGAAATTGGAAGGATTTAAGAAATGGGAATCTCAAAAACTTTGGGTTAATTTGGTCGAGAAGTAATTTCTCATTGAGATGTAAGCTTGGAAAAATGTTAGTCTTTGAAACTTGTTCAATGAACAAAGTAGCACTTTTTAAATGTATCACTTAAAGTTGACAATTAATTTGCGACAATTAGCAGACAATAAAAGACAGAGTAAACAATGAAACAAAAATTACCTTAACCTTAAGCATTCTCGCATCCAAACAATTGTTCTTGGAAAAGAAGACTTTGAATTCACTAACAAATTTGATGGCTGATGAGAAAAGTGACATTTGAATTTGATGGATCCATGGATAAACTTCGATTATCGAAGAGAAGGACGTCCTAAATCTAACTCAAAGTTAAATCAAATTGAACCCAAACCATCAAAGAGAACGTAAAAATGATGAGACGACCCGAAGACGGATCATTGGAAGTAAACCAGAAAAGGAAAAACTATTAAAATTTTGAATTCCATGTAGTTTTATGATTCAATAGATTGATTGTTGGTGACAAACAAAGCAAAAGTCCATTTTCAAAGTTTAATTACGTGAAAAAGTCATCCCACAACACCATAACAAGAAATTTCCAACAGCAAAAACAATAACTGTTTGTTGCTTGTTACTGAAAAGACACAATCAACGCATTTGTACACACATTGACACAAATGAGCGAAAAACGGGCGAAAATCTTTTTCTTTCAAATTTAAACCCATTTAATTTGTGAAGAATTAAAATCTGAGTCCATTGGTGCTATTAAATAGTTGATCCGATCAGCAGTTTTCGAGAAAATCAAGTCCAAAGTTGAAACTTCGATCTCCTCTTATGCAATTATGGAAGCAGATTTTTTCACGAAACTGATTTCACTAATGTTACTTTTGATTACCAACAAGAAAGTAAACTTATTTTGAGAAATAAAGTTTTCTGGTTTCTTTAAAGCAGATCGTTTCGATTTTGACTTAAACCTGTCGCATTTTGTGACCGTAACATTTAGACAGCGGAAACTTATTATTCTTCGATAAAGATTAGTAGCACACACCATGGATTGAACATTTTTCGAAATTTCTTTACAGTTCTCTTGATTTTGGCCATTGGCCTGAAAACTTTGAGTCTAAAAATTTCGTGAATGGCATCACCTAGAATCTTCAATCTTACACCAATCAATAGATTTTATCAGTGGCTGTTATTGTATAAATTTTAGATGCTACAAAAAAGTTATAACATTGGATTGCTATTGATGTTAGGATTCGAGACTCGCCACATAAATTTAAATGGTTACTCAAATCCAAATTGACATAAATGGCCAGAAACGGATAAAAATCATTATTTTTGCTTATGTTGATTTGTAGGGACATGCAAAGGAATCCAATTTTACTATTTAAAAGTTTCTCTGATGAACCGTTTTCGCGTGAAGCAAGTCCAAAGTTGGAACTTCGATCGCATTTTCCGCAATCATGGAAGCATATTTTTTCATGAAACTTTACTCACTCATGTAACTTTTGATGCCTAATCAGAGAATGCACTTAAATTGGAAAATAAAATTTTCTTTTTCTGTAGAACAGATCAAGTTCGATTTTGACTTAAACCTGTCGCATTTGGCGATCAGAAGACTTAGAAAGATGAAACTTAGTATTCTTCGATAAAAATTTATGGTACAATATTACGTCTGAAAGATTTTTGCAATTTCTCTACAGTTCGCTTGATTTCGGCCATCGACCTAAAAACTTTGGCCATCAATATTTCGAGAATGGCATCACTTACAATGATCATTCTTTCACCAATTCAATTCTCTACTAATACATAATTTAACTCAATTCAATAACTTTCGATTAGTGCATTTTAGTTATGATTTTCGGGCAGTAAATGCACGACAAACAACTTATTCAACAAAACAAACTCATAAAAATCAATATCTTGGTAAATAAACCATTTTTCTGGTTAAACTGGCAAATAAAATGCAAAAAGTGCTGTCAAATGCTCGAAAATTTGAGTTAAGAGTTGAAACTTAGTGAAGGTTATAAGGAAATAGCATCTGAGTCCATTGTTGCTATTAAATAATTCCTCCGATGGACAGTTTTCGAAGAAATCGAGTTCAAAGTTGAAACTTTGATCGCTTTTTGTACAATTACGGAAGCAAATTTCTTCATGAAACTTATTTTGAAGATGTAACTTTTGATGAAAAACCAGAAAATGTATGCATTTTGAGGAATAAAGTTTTCTGTTTCCTTTAAAGCAGATCATTTCGATTTTCACCTAAACCTGTCGCATTTTGTGATTGTAAGAGTTAGCGAGATGAAAGTTATTATTTGCCCATAAAAATTGTTGCCTCACATCATGGATTGAGTACTTTTTTCAATTTAAACACAGTTTTGTTAATTTTGGGCATTGGCCTTAAAACTTTGAGATTCAATAATTCAATAATAACATCATCTTCAATCATCATTCTTCATCATCATCATCGAGATCAAATCAAATACTAAATACTTTTAGATCATCTAAAAACTTTGCTTTGATTTGATCTAAGCCAAATTTCGTTCGTTCATGATGCCAAAAAGAAGTTAATTTGAGTGTTTAAATAATGTTTATTGGAAATTAATTACAAGGTACAATTTTTATAGCTCCGTATTTCTTGAGCTGTCAAATGACACTTATGTGCCTATTTGTTTCTTAATTTTGGCAATTAGTTACATTAATTCCTGACTGATACTCGATTTATATTACAAGATGGAAGCTCTTAATAATAATTTCGTCCTGCTCCAAATCCACCGTAGATTCCAGCACCATATCTAAGACCAATGTTGGCACCGAAACCACCACCATAACCAACTCTATCTCCGTAGCCATTGCCGTAGCCACCATTCATTGGACCACCATAACCACCACCATTGCCGTAGCCACCACCATTCATTGGATTACCATAGCCACCACCGTAAGGTGAACCACCATAACCACCACCATTTCCGTAGCCTCCGCCATTACCTGGACCACCATAGCCTACAAAGGAAACGTTAAATTTGATTTGTCGTTTCAAAGGATTCTTATGAAATGTATTGGAAGAAAGTTTCTCTTACCTGGATTATATCCGAAGCCTCGATAACCAGCATTACCACCGTACCTCAGACCAGCATATCCACCATACCTGACGGCTCCATATCCATTGAACAAGTCAAATTGAGCTGAGGCAATAGCAAACAAAGCAAAAAGAACTCCGAGGAATTTCATTTTTATTGATGATTTAAAGTTGCTTAGCAAACCTGGTTGAAATGATTAAGATGTCTTGAGGAGTGATAAAACTGGAATGATCTTTTTACAAACAATTAACACTCTTTTATACTTTGTATTAAACGAGGAAATCTGTTGCTTGAGAAATCTTCATTCATGATAATTTTATATTGTTTAAGTCACAACGAGTTCCTCATGAACTTGCTGGTCAACGCCTGCTTCAAAACTCACCAGCCTCAAAATATTATTAATTCAAAGTGAAATTTAGCTGGATTAGATAATATTCAAATGAATGAAAAACAAAAATAGTGAAAGTAGAACAATTCCGATTGAAATCTGTCTTCAACTCTTAACCCATGTACCCATTTTCACCAGTTTTTGTCACCTCAAGTTTCCTCGTAATGTCTTTAAACTGACTTTAATTATTCGATTATTATCCAATTCCTATTTATGTTCAAACAACATCTAATGAAATCTCATATCGCAGTAGATTTGAAACATCTTATAAACCTAAATATACTCAATCTTTAGATCTGTTACCCAAAAAGGTCAAACAAGCAGGTAAGCCTACAAATATGTTTTATTTATAATTTACTAACTTTTTCTTCTTTTTCATAGGTAATCAAGATCACAATGATTCCCAATCATAACATTCACTCAGATTCACAGGATATTTGTGGATTTTGTTCACCGAATGAGATTAAGCTGCTTTATCCTCAACTCTAAGAATACTTCTCGATTCAAGTTTGAGTAGAGTTATCAATTTAACCACTCAGCATCCAAAAGCTATCGATATCACAATACCTTTCAGGGAAATAGTATTGCAGTTTAATGGATTGGATGAAATGAAAATGGCCTGAAACTGATGGTTGTGTAACTGAAATATCGAAACGTTTACTGTAATAATTGTATCAATATAAAGAAAGCGATCAAACTGGACCCCTTAAGTGTTAACGAATGCTGATTGATTTTCGCAATCGAAACGGACTTTACCAAAGCTTTCGTCGAAGTATTTGGCGTTTCTTTTTTCGCTTCCTTCTATTGTCCAACATCTCAAGCTGCAGTTCCTCAACATTACGAAACATTGAGAAATATTATGAAATACAATGAATCTTTTCATCGCATCCCAAATGTAATAAATGTCATCGTGTTAATAAATTTTACTGATGAGATGTGACTCTTTTAAACAATGTCTGAATTCAAAATGATGATAAACTGGTTCCAAATTGACATAACCTTGGCATTCAACCTACAAAAAGTCAACAATTAGTATTAACTTTATAATTGGAGATGTTAAATGACTGTCCAGCTTTCCCACCAAACAAGTGAAATGGCTTTCGGCTGTTATGGTTATTAGTTAATTGTTTATCAATTAGACTGTTACTTGGTGTTAATGTGGCTTTAAGCTCACTTATCACTGATCATTTAATAGTAATACTACCGGCAACATATTGATTGCTTACAAACACATCTCAATTTAGTTCTTTAACATGAAAAGTATCTCATATTTATTCAAATACAATGCATTTGAATCAAATCATTCTCGACTCGATAAAATCAACTATCATTGAACGAAACTCCCAAGACAAAAACTCTCGAGTTAAACTGTCGATTTCATCAAAATGTCAACTTATATTTCACGATTCATCATGAAAGAGGTAATTAACAACCAATGAGATAATCTACTGAATAAAGATACTCTTCAAGTCTAGAGCTTTTGTCTAATGAAAGTAATTTTTGGTCATTAGAAAGCTGGTTTTGTTATGAAAGCTCTGTGTCAGTCAGCCGGTTTTACCCTTTTAATGCTGGTTTTGTTAATGTGAAAGTTGCTTCTATCCAGCCGAGAATAATTGTATCAACCAAATTATAAGTTACTAATCGGCTATTTAATCTTCCATCCTTAATTATAATAATTGTGAGAACCAAATTCAATTAAGTTTGGTGACAAATCGATAAGGTCATGTGCTCAGCAATACTGTGCATCTGTAAAGAAGATATCAGATAGTTGAAATTAAAACTGACTACTGATATCGATACTAATTACTGTTGTTTACTTCTTGAAACCCATTGTTTTAGATTGAAAAAACATGCAACTTTTAACTCTGTGACCAATATTGATATTTTCCAGGAAACTTATTTCGATCAGAATTGATCCAAATAATTACTATGATAATTATTGCAAGATCATTTACCGAAGACAAATGGATATGTAATTTAACCATTAAATGGTTACACGATATAGACTTGTAATGGCTATCCAATTGAATGTCTTTTGTAAAGAAATTGCGTGCCCTTAATTAATTATTAATCAACTGGTAAGGAACTTAATCTAATGGTAAGGACAATTATGAGGTGAGTTGATTATATTAAGAAACATTAATCACCATATTTACCAGTTAAACGAGCAAAACACTTATTGATTTATTCCTGTTTTTGTTTTTCCTCTCACCAATTTATAGCAACACACCAAATAGGTCTAACATAAAGGTGGTAATAACTCAAGTGTAAACAATGATGATCCAAAAGAAATGACGCCGTTGATTGTATTATGATTATATTTACGCTAATGCATCTTCACCACAATTAAAGTGATTACCAATGGCCGTACGGATTGAATCTGTGATTGCTTTTTTCGGCTGTTTTCCCATTTACCTTGCAGACTATTTGGCTAACAAAGGAAAAAGCAAGAAATTTTCTCAAATTTTAACCACAGTCTATCACAATTTAGCTAAATATTTGTCCCTTTGTCTGTTATTAATTACTATATTAGTGATTCCTCCATTCAGTGACTACACAGCAACCCTGATTAAACCCGAAAATGACCGTAATTCACCATTTTATGCGTTGATCGTCTCCAACCTAATCTCTAATGTATCAACTTACTTTATCGCTGGTTATGCATCCAACTCAAACTCAATATTGATGAAATGGACTGAAATATTTCAGGTAGTAAACTGATTTTTAATCTAATTTTCAGATTCTCGGTGTAATCTAATTATTTTTTTCAACTTTTCTATTCGTCTAGTTTCTAACTCAATCAAAGGTTTCATCAAAGATTGACAATGCTCCTGATACAATGCAAAAACTGTCCTCCTTTGCTCACCAATCAGCCTTAAAGTGTATTTACTCTATTATTGTACGTGCTCTGATTATTATCACCATTTTAACTCTCCTGTACCTTTACGAAGGTTTAACCCTATCATTTACAGTCTACGGTAATAACCAGTTAATTCAATTAACCCTGTTCACCCTCTTAACCATCCATCTGACTATATTTGCTAGTCTTGACCATGTTAACTCACATCTATTTGAAATTTTGGTTCAATATTTTGTCCTCAAGTTTCGTGTTATAAATGATAGGATTGCTGTTATTGTTAAAAAGGGTAAAGATGGATCCAACAATCAAATTAAATCATTAGACGAAGCTGAGCTCAAATCTATTCTGGATGAACATGACCTGTTGAAGGTTAATCTCAAGCTTTACGATAAATACTGGTCACAGATAAACATCGTCACGTTGATTCTCAAACCCTTGACCTGTCTCTATTGTGTTTTCCAGTTAACCTTCATTGTTCAATCAACTGCTTCAATTGTTTTCCTTTGGTTACATCTCATTGAATCAGTTTATTTATTTACCAAAATGTTTCTATCAGGAACCAAAGTATCAGATGAAGTAAGTAATATTGGTCCAAAACATTGAGTTAAAATTAACTCGGTTTAACCATAAAAGTCATCCAACAAGATTGACTTTCATCCAAGAAAACTGGACTTAAATTACATTCTGACCAGTATCAGTTGTTTTAATTCAAGTTAATTAAATACTAATTGTTTTTTAATCTGATTTTCTTTCTCTTCTTGCCATCGATTACGCTTAATAATTAATTTTTATATTTTCCGCCTTTACTTGCTAATGACTCAAACGTTAACATTTATTGTTTACAAAGTGTCAAACGCCATTGTTTGATTAGCGCCATTTTATACAATTTTAATTCAAGTTCAAGATTCACAGGTTAATCTTGATTAATGTGTCTTTATCTTTAACTAATTCTCAGTTATATATTTCCTCATCATTAGATTGATAGTGTTGCTGCTAATGGACTACGGTTAATCTTATTCAGCTATTCAATTCCAGTTCTGCAAAGGGTAAGAGTAAATAACAAATCTTTATCAAATAATCAACCAACTGTTTATTAACTGCGATCTACCATTTTTTGTTTATCACAATCACTATAGCTTCAATTATTCAATCAACACATCATGTTCACTGAGATGGGGTTCAGTTGTGGAGGATTATTTATATTTACACTTGACTCGGTTCATGATGTAAGTTAAACATGTCACCTATATGTTAATAACAACCATGGATCCAATCAATAAATTGAATTTGATCTGATGAGTTGAAATCAAGAGGAGATGCAGCTGAACTGATAAGAATTAATCTAATATGTATTCCCATCAAGATCGGTTCATTGTTATTCTCTACTTTTCCCTATGAATTACAATTTTTATCAAATGCTAAAGACTTAAGGAAAAGGCAAGATTGAATCTGAATAATAATCAACATTGATTTATGGAAATACATATTTTCTAATTCACAATCACGTCTCTTAATGAGCCTAATACTATATTAGCAGCTTGAATACCAATAAATTTTAAAATATTGTGAATAGACAATTAATTTTGAAACGTCTTTTTCTTCTTTCAGGCTTTCATTGAACTGACTCAAGATTTTCTGTTAACCCTTGACTTTGTGATTACAGTGAGACAAGCCAAATCTCAATTGAATTAGAGACTGGATTCCTGATGCATTTGGTACCGATCAAATTGGCTAAAAAGATTCATTTAATTTCATGAGCAAAAAATTATAAGCTAACTGGTTTTCCCTCACAATTACCCACTGATTAACCGTTTTTGCTTGAAAATTACTTCACCTGTCAACGCTGATCAATTGTCACAAAAAAGTCGGTTAATATATTCAATCATCTGTTCACGATTGAATTATTTCTAGTCAGTTACGCGCAATATCTCATGTTCATCAAAACCAACAATATATCTTGTGTGTAGAAAGAGTTTGGATTCAATTGAAAGCCACGGATGCCATTAAATTGATTGTAATTGGAAATAATCTGTGGTCCAAAACTCATACTACCGACAATTAATCTAGTTAATCTTGGTAACCAGCATGAGCTTTTAAATTGAAAGTGTTCACATTGAATGTAACAAAAACTATGTAATATTTGAAACTAAATTATAGAAATACTTTATTGATAAATTAAGTGTTTTGAATCAATTAAATGATTGGGATTACAATCATTGACTATAATTGCGAACTCATAAAGAGTAAATATTTTAAATATGGATTTGTTCATCATGTAACAATCATTTGTTCAAAAGAAACAACTCAAAGATTGATTCATTTTGGAACAAATCGTACCATTTTTTGTACGCAGCATTTGACTCTTTCAGCTCTGTAACCATCACAAGTTCAGTGATTGAAATGCCACATATTGAATTTTACATCAATACTAATATCTTTATGTGGCTGTATAATTGTTACAATTAATAACCAGAAATACAGAGTCAATGGGTTGGTACAGGTTACATTTTTGGTTTACATATTTTGGAAAGTTCAACATTGAGTCTTTGATAAATTACAATCAAGAAATAAAATGAAATGGATTTGCTTGTTACCAAAAATAATTATCAATATAATTTGCTTTGTCCAAGAAGATTTAAATTGTTGATAATCAGTAAAATAGTTAACTCTGTTGTTTTCATCTTGATAATTTATCCTCTCTTGATCATCTAAAATCTACATTTGAAAGCTAAAAATATACTCTGTTTTGCTGCTAGTAAATTAATTACAATCAACTGTTTATCCATTTAGTTAAAATTAAATTCTTTCCTTGATTAATCTATTTTAATGTTGCCGACCATTTCTATCACAACAATTGTAAAAATAAATCAAGGAAAGAAGAAAATGAAAGCTAAAGGAATAAAGGAAAACGAAAAAAAACAAAACAAAAATGATAACAATATAAAAATAGTGTTAATTTTTGTATGCGGAAGAAGCTGATATTGATTTTGCTTTTTTGGTAAATTGTGTTGTCCTTAGTTGTCCAAGATTTCGTTAATTGTTACAATAAATAAAACAAATGTTGCCTTTCTACAGGTTTTCCATTAAAATAAATAACGATGAATCCTAGAAATGATATCATGGTAATCAAAGCTTTCATCTTTTTTCTCTGAAGGAAGACCAGTAAACATCTCTAATACTGGATCATTTTAAATTTGCGAAGGATAAGTAAAGTTAAATTAATGATGATAATTGGTGAAAATTAGGTGGCCATTGAAATGCATGAAGATGGATAATCTACTTTTTCCTTATTTGATGGTAGACAATGGTATTGGATTTCATTGAAGTAACTGTAAAACTTGGTTAATCCTTGAATTCATGGTTGTGTTTCCATTGAGAGGAATATTTTGCAAATCATTTGGAATCTTGTGAAGTATTAGGTGAGCTTTGAGGTTCTTTGAACGACTTGCCAGAAGCTGCATGAGTGTAATGAAATTGCTTAAAATTTCATTTTGAATAAGCGTTTGAGAATTGTAAGCGGAACTGAGAAAAGTATGGATATGATAACCAAGTGATCCATCAATGAGACGATCTTCCAACTGGGGATCAGTTGAGGCAAACATCAGTATAAGTGCAATGAATGCTTCATTTTGCATGATTCCACATTTAGCTCCAGTTGATATCATCTCGATAATACCTCGTAATCCATTTAACCTTACAATATTGTCGACAACCATTCGACATTTAGAGTTTTTAACAATCCAAGTTAATAAACGTGAAGCTTCAGCTTTAACACCATAATGGTCATCAATTGTGCTCCAACCAATAAGTTTGTCCAAAAAGTCTTCATTGGTACCCAACAGGGTTGCCACCGGTTCTTGGTTATCTGTTAACATGCGAAGAGATTGAAGCAACTTGAATACTATGGGATGAGCTTTCACTGAAGACATTGAGATAAGAGTCTCCAGAGTTTCAGGGTTTGACAGGATTTCCTTGTTTTCACTGGCAATTGACAGATTACGTAAAGCTGAAAGGCAGCCATGTTGAAGCTGAAAGTCCCCATCAGGTCCAGTGATACGAGATAATACCGATAAAATTGCTTTATGGCCTGAATCTTTGACAATTTGGCAACAATTAGAATCTGGAAAAGGCAAAGGATAAAAAATAATTAGACTCGAGTATCAAATAAATTGAAATAGTTTCAATCCAACAGAAATCACAACAATTTTGCTATTTTTCACTTATTTTTCAACCGTCATTGCAATAAATTGAGTTTAAAGTTAATTTAATATTGTAATGTTACAATTTATACATTTGAGAAAATATTATTTCCTTAGTTTGAATTAAATTCATCTTGACATGTTTTCACTTTAAATGGGAAAACAGTTTCACTGATTAAGGTTGAAAAATATCATCAATACAAATGGATGCATTGAAAGAGGATGAGAGTGAAATGAAGATGGAAGAGGTGAATGATCAAAGGCGAAAGATGGAAATTATTTTTTCTAGATTGTTGATCAATCGGAAATTAAATTGAATGTATTAACTGTTCAAGTCAACTTTGTTTAGCCATTTTAACAATTGATTCAAGAGATGCTCTTTAAGATGGTGAAGCAAAAAAAACTGTATAAAGTTAGCCTAATATTGAGAGAAGACAAAAGAAGGAATTGGCTTTGGATTTGAGAGGTTTACACTCAAAGGGATGCTATTGATGATGATGATGATAATTGTGAAACTGTTATTTTGCTGTATCAGTGACTTTAGCTAATCATATTAAGTGTATTGAATGAAAACAAACACAAGCAAAAACAACATGCCAAATGAAAAGAGTAAATTGGAGAAGCAAAAGATGAGGTTGAATAAAAAAAATTGTCTTGTAACTGCAATTTTGAACAAGACAGAAAATGAGTTAACAACCAGAATAAGAATTTTGCTTGAATAAATAATAAACACATAATGAATTGATAAAATGAACATATTCGATTCTATTCCTTAATTGAATCCATTTTCTTTTTTTACAGCGTAACATTATTCATCATTTTATCGATTGTACAAATTCAACCAACAAATAATTAAACATCACCAAAGACATTAATAAACATTGAAATCTGAGGGTCAAGTTGAACTTGAAATACAACTCGAAACAAAATGCTAATAAATTTTGAGTAACATCATGAACAAAGACAGCGAGTTCGTGTAAAACTTTTTGACACCAGAGACTTGAAATTGCCGAACGAAGAGGACATTTAATCAACAAAAGATCGGCATATTTCTTGAGTCAACTTTAGATCAGAGAACGCGTTTGATAGCACCTTTAGAATGGGCTTTACTTTGAGCAATCGATTCAACATTTTTTGCTCTTTCTGATAGATCTGCTGTTGAAGCAATGAAAAGATTCGACTTTTGATCTCCTTTTTTCGAGGTTAGAATTTTCTGTAAGAATTTAAAATTTCTTATACATTATGTGCTCTATCGATTGACAGTAAAATTTACGCATCGCAACAACAGGCAAAGTCCTTTGGTAAGATCGATAAGATTCACTTTGGAAGTCAATTTTGAACGATTGAAAATTTGTGACCAATAAATACAATGAATCAAGATTAAAGCAAACATTTGATCAGTAAAATGTCAAAAAGTCAAGTATTATGAAAGACGAATCGTTAAGTAAATCTTTTTTTTTTCAAATGTGAAGTGAATGGGGGCAAACATTATGATAACAATGATGATATTAATGATGAATAATATAAATCAAAAGATAATTCAATAAAAGTGCATGAAAATGGATGAAACATCAAAATTTGGTTCGTATTCAGTTTTTACTTTTTCTTCCTATTCCCTAGCATCATGGCCACCCACCCAATTGAGCTTGCATTTTGAGGATAGCTTTTCCTTGTTAACCAATTTTGCCCTCTTGCTGTTAACTTTCACCATTTCACTCCTACACACTATTCAATAGTACATTATAAGGGTAGAAGAAAGAAGATCAAGATGATGAAGATTGCATGGAGTTTTAACTCCAACTAAAGAGATATTAACAAATCTCTTTCTTGGTCGTTGGCCTCTGTTTTTAACGCCTACACTTAAAGCGTATTGCTCATGTCATTCATTGAAACTTTTTTTTGTTTCTCAAAGGAACCATTCTTCTGTACAATCATCATTCTAATCATCTTTATCATCATCATCATGACCTGTTTCAAACTTACAAGCCAATCAAGATTATAGATTGTAAAAAAAGCAACAAACTGTGGACAAGATGTTTTTGTTATTAACATTTTCTTTGAACAAAATGTTATTACAAAAAGTGATTTTCATTGAAATAACGGTAATTTAAACATTTTATTCATTCTCTTCTAGTTTCAACCTTCCTTGAATAACAATTTACTTCTCAGTTTGCATTTCCAAATAGAGTAAAAATCCGTTTGGATAAGGATTAATCGGAAATAAAATGGAAAAAGAATCCAGCTTTTAACTGATTTTTAGGAAAAGAAACAACAGATTATCAATAGTCACGAATGTGAAACATTTTACATTCACAGAGATTGAGTAGCATTTAAAAAATATTATCACCATTATTGGTAGAAACCAGAATTTATCAATTCACAAATCAATATTGATCTCAATTTTGTTTTCATCACTAAACGGACAATAAAGTGGAAATGGCCAAAAAAGTAAATAAAAGTATTGACATTTAGAGCTACTTAAAGGTTAAAGACGCTTCTCGATAAATCACTTACGCATCAATTGCTGTGACTATGAAACGCATTTTCAGGTGATTTTTAACTAAATTTGTAAAATGGATCGATTTATATTGAAAATTCAAGTTAAAATTAAGTCTACTTTAGCTTCGAGACTGAAACTCAAATAACTTCTGACCGACTCAATTTGAAACAGTAAATGAATCTAACTTTAAATCAACTTCAACATCTTAACCAGTAAATCTAGACTAATCTCATGTGCTCAGGTTTAATCTTTATCAATGAAAAACTCCAAAAGGTTTTAAAATTATTCATTTGAGACGATGAAATATTTTTGTTTACGAAATAATTTCGATAATCTCAAGTCAATCAACTCTTTATTTTTGATATCAAGTTATCAACTTTTTTGCAACTTTAGATCAAGTTACCTTCCTGGAGTTACATCAAAGTAACATCAAGAGTTTAGCTGGTTATGGGCAGCCTTTATACTGTTAACTGATGATATGCTGTTGGAGCGAAAAAACTTGATGGATATTTATCTGAAGCTGATTTCAATATTAAAATTTTTCTAACAATGTAAACGGTTATTACTGCAATCAAAATAAATGACGATGTCTTATTGTCTTATGTTTTATTTTGTACTTGAGTTGGACCGATTCCAATTTGAATGTCGAACAGATAATCACAATGATTTTGTTATTTTTATTCCTTTAACAATTATGAATCCGATTTTCTTGTCAATGTACAAGGACTTGAATTTCACATTTTGACTGATATTGTTTCAATAATAGCTAATCGGATACACTGGACCATAGGATCTCATGTACTTTGGATAGAAGTGATGAAATTCTGGACCATAAACATTGGAAATCCAAGAAATTTTGGCTTTACTTTTGCTCATTTTTCTGTGTTTCTGTTGATGTCTGGTTAAAAGCACTCGTTTCTTGTTTGCTTCGCGTCTCCTTCGTAAAATATTGAGAACAAGTTTCCGTAAATTATGAAACAAAAATTTAGTAACTGAAAGAATGGACACTTCAAGCCAAAGACTTATTATCGAAGCAACATAGCAAAAAAATTCAATATCATTGAATTTTTTAGATTTCGTTATATCTGATTGTAAGCCTAAAGGAAAGCCAAACTCTATTAAAACAAGTCCAGGATCAATGGTTGCATCAAATTCTGATTGAAGTATTCGTGCATCAAACAGGCGAGTTTTGCATTCTGGTTGATGATAAAGAGTCTCACAAACAGTCCGGAATTTCGACATTGGAATTTCCTGATCGAAGGTAACATTGGACAAATCATTTGGAATTGAAACCAAGGAACGTTCAGGAAAAGCAGAATACTCAAGATAGACCTGAGTATACATGCATTGTTTGACTAAAGTACGTCTAGATTTGTTGTGCACCTCATCATAGTCCATACAATTTGAATAGGGAAAAGCAAGTTCAGTGTTAGTTCTGGTATAATAGGTCAAAATAAAGTGATTATAAAAAGTCTTGTCAAGAACTGTCATGTCAGGACTGCCGTTGTTGAAGACGACCTCTTCATCGTTGTCATGGACAAAGACCAGTGTAGTCACTTTTGTATGGTTTGCAATGACTTCGACCTTAAGAAAGGTTTCATCGTAAAAATCATTTCGATAATATTTGTACGGATTGGTTTTTCCCGAAAAATAAGTGAAACACTTTAAGAAGGGTGTCATTGCAACTTTAACTGGACTAACGTTTTCACAGTCAACCATGTTAAATAATTGGTTAGAATCGATTGAAGCATTGGCCACTCTACAGGATTTCACGAAATGGTGTAAATCAACTGTTAACTGATCCAGTTCATCAAGAGTCAAGTCATAGATGGACACTTCACGGCCAGTTTCATTCGCTTGATTACGAGCAGCTATAGTCTTCTCTACATCATCAGCGCTCAGAGTGAAAACAAGACACAAACTAATCGAAGGCAAGTTAATAACATTGGGTCGATACACCTCAATTACTGTGGTTGTTGGCCAAGAAAAGTAGAGGGCAAACAAGGTTAAGACTTGTGTAGTTGACCCAAAAATGCAAATAATTACCGGCACTAGTTTATCATGAGTAAATATCAGAGATTTGGTTAAAGGATTGGATGGCTTTTTCATTGGCACAGCCATCATTTACCGTTGATATTGAACTACAAAGGCGATGTTAAGTGAAAATAATTTACAAGCAAGTCTAAATCATACATTCAAATTTCACTTTTACACTTCAATATTGATCCAGTGACTTTAAGGTACTCGGTTTAATCAAAAATGTATTTTTTGTGATAAATTAATATTTAAATCATGTAAAGACAGAAACGGAACTGCTTCATGAATGGAGTCAAAAATAATGGCCTTTTTAAAAAGATTTTCATGTTAATTTAAATTGTATCAATAATCAATTGAAAATAGTGTAAAACTTGAAAATATAATGAAAATCAATAAAGCAAGAAAAATAGTCTAAAATAACTGGACACGAGAACTGAATAATACCAAAGTAACTGACTCAATCTGTACTCACTCAATAAAATATCAATCTTTTTTAAAACAATCACATTTAATTGTCGCTAATTATAATCAAAATTTGAATAATTTAGAGTGATTTAAATTCAATATATCTTTTTGTAGCGCTTAAGGTATCGAAGTAAAACTGAAAAAGTAAATGTTTGATATTACATTGACATTTTATTGTAAGGATTACATAAAGGTTAGATTTGTAGATTCATTGAAATTGTTGTTAAAAGAGCAAAATCTGAATTCTGAATTCAATTTTTCTGAAAGATCTGAAGACTTAGAAGCGAAAAGGTTAAAGTTTCGGTTCATTTCATGGTAATGAGGCTTAAAATAGTCAATTGGTTAACAATGAAGAGGCTGTAGTTTTTACTTGGAAATAAAAGGTTAATGATTGTTTGTCAATTAGTATTGACAGTTGATGACACCCAATACTTGACTGATGTCAAATTGATCATTAACTCAACTGAATTACATGGAAGATGCATCAATCAAATAAATCGAACATTAAATGATGTTATCAACGTGATTCAGATTCAATCGTCAAAATCATGGTAAATCAACAAGCACCTTCAATAGCGAAGAAAAGTATTGGAAAATCTGATGCTTGGGGAAAAAAGAAAAATAATCTCAAGAATTTGAGAAAATTGTTCTTTTTCTACTTTTTCGTTTATTCACTTTAATGCAAAATATATTGAAATTTCCTGATACTGAAAAATATTTAAAGTCTTGCGCTTTCAGCAGGTTAATTTGATAAATTGAACAAGGCTAAGAAATATCATGAAACTAAAGAGTAAACCAAATATTTCTGATCAACAGATTATTTTACATATAAAAATCCACCTACGATGTATTTACTTTGTTCAATATTTACTGATAATTTGAACTAATTTTGTTTTTGCAACGCAATATTGCTGGTTACATAATAATTCATCTTTTTATATGAAAATTAATCATGAAAAGTAAGGGGAAAAAGACAACAAATCATGAAATGTAATGTAATTTTGTGAGAAAATGAAATTTCATAGGATAAAAAGAAAAACAATTCATTTGTAAATCAATCAATCCAAAGAGAAGTGAAAAGATTGATTTACATTGAATCGATTTGTAAAACACAATTTACCAAATTAAAATTGATTATTACAACAGACTATGGGCAAGTATAAATTGGTTAAATGGATAATTATATTTCTGTGGTAAAAGATTCAATCTAGTGATTTATAAAACAATAAATTGAATTAAACTGTAATGAGTTTTACTATTATCTTGGTTATTAGTTGATTACTTTTTTCAGATTTTACATGTTTTGTCAATTACTTTGTTTCTTTGGGTCATAAAAGGTTTGTAACATTGAGCGAGTCGGAAGGAAAGACAAAATGTTGATAAAATGATCTATTTTAACATCTTGTTTCACCGTATTATTGGTTAGCCCATGAACTAAGGAACAATTTAACTCGACAATAATGTTGACATCAATCATACTTGACATCAATTGTTGGTGAAAACAGAGGTAAGACATTTTACTTTACAAGAATCAAAAGTGTATCAATTTTTGACACTCATCAACGCCTAATGAGGTCATTTATCAGAAGAAAAATTATCATCGGTAACTTGATTTTACTTTTTGTGGTTATTTGATAGGAAAAGACAAGAGAAAATGTTACCCAAAGTTTGCTTTTTTGCTTGATGAGTGAAAATGAGCAAAAGCAGAAGCTTGGAATGGATGGAAAGAAAGGGAAAAATTTGCACAAAAGTGAGTTTTATATAAAGATGAAACTTACCTGTTCTGCCAAAGTTTCCCAGAATCAATATAGCAGAAGTGAGTATATGATGTTCAGTTGATGCATCTTGAATCCATTTTAAACATTGTTTATACAACATGCCTGATCCATTTTCAAACAGTACATCCATACATGAATCTGGTGTAAATTTTGATAAGATAAATGGAGAAACAACATTTCAATAAAGAGTAGATAATGAAGAAAATTTTTTCATCATGTTGAAACAAACCTTCAAGTATACAAGATGATATAACACTTAAAATCAATTTTTCAATGGGTTTACTCAAATTTTCTTCGATTAACATGCTTATCAGCTTGGTTGGTAGTCCTTGAGCAATTAGACTAATTTTGACTGAATCTTCTTCTGATATAACCAGTAATGTATCCAAAAGAGCAGATAAAATATCTTCATCTCGGTTAATTGTAATCAAGTTTATGAGTTCGGTTAAATTTTTGTGCCTTGTCAGGTATTTACGGCCAACTTCAGATTCGGGTAGAGTTTGTAGGACGAAGGTTGCCGAAAGGCTTGTTTCTTCAAAGGTGTTTCCCTTGTTGTGTAAAATTTTCAACAAAATTGGCAGCAAACCAGCAGATAGAGCAATATCATGACCATGGTCAAAGGTATTGATTACATTGAACAAACAGCTTGTAACTAGGGAAAGAACTTCATCCAATTTGGATCCACCGGTGGAACAATCACCATCAATGGAACCAGAGGAATCGATAAGAGTTTTCATCAACGAAACTAGGCTGTTGATTCCGTCAACTTTGGTGAATGACCTTCGTCCAGTATCTGGTGGGAAGAAGAAACAAAAGAAAATTGTGAGTAAAAAAGTAGAAGTGGATATTGAGTTAATCGTGAAATATATTATTCTCTTTAAATTCCATTTTATTCCATGAATACGCTAAATCCGTGGAGATCTGTGCGTGGGTGTCCATGTATTTCTCAGCTAGGAAATATCTAATGTGTATTAGTTTTGCAAGCTCATGAGCATGATCAACATTTGGTTTCTCAGAGAGAAATATATAAAAGGAAATAAAGAGTTGTTGCTGGAGAATAGAGGTGATAAAGTTTCAAGGGCAACAGAGTAAAATCAATAAATCTGATGAGTAAGGTTAACATAGAGGAGAGAAGAGTATATTTTTGTCTGGAACAAAAGCAGTAAGATATTTCAAATTCAAGGTCAGAATAGTAAAGCATTGCTATATTTTCACTAGTCTTTAACATAGTGAATCCATTGTAATGCTGCATTTCTGTCCTTGACCTGTATTCACTTTATTAATGTATACAACACAGCATACATTAAGTTTACTTACCATTATCGTAACAAATATTACCAATGGCTCGACAAGCTTGCTTAATAGCCCCATAATCATCACTTGATAAGACAGGAACAATGGCTGAAAATAGATTTGAACAGGATAATGGTAACCTCCAAATTTCTGTTGGGTTTCCAAACAATTAAAGAGGGCCCAAGTACGAAAAAAATATGAAAAAAAACAGAAAAAAGTACAAGTTAAAAGTTGAATTCAAGTTTAGAGTTGGTTTAAATTTAGATATCTAGACATTAAGAAACCAAAAAAACTCACCAAATTTGGCTAATTCAGCAATCATTTCACACACTACACGTTTGTCATCGATTGTTACATTAATATTTTTGTTGCTCAAGATTCCATTGATTGAATTAATTAATCCAAAAGTGACAAGTTGTTCACTCATTTGTTGACGCTTCTCATCATCAGAGGATAAAAATTGTTTGGTAATGTCAGCACACAGATTAACCATTTTTCCAGCTGATTCATTGTATGTTTCTTTGGATCCCTCAGTAATTTTAATATCATTTAAACGATTGATTATTTCTTCTGTATAAAACGATAGGAGGAGAACACGGTATTCAAAAAATCAACAGAGCAAACAATTAATAACGTTGAAATAATTGTCAGGTGAATTTAAAATTAGATTAATCAAATAACTTACCCATGTTTGAGAGTTTGACAATCAACTTTCACCAAGTTACATCAACTTGCCATATAAACAATCAACTAGAAGAACAGCAAAACTCAACTGTGATGCAACTACATTTTTTACCCATAGACATGCCTAGTTTCAACGAGAGACTTTTACATATGCTGCCATCTTAATTATACCGGTAAAAGTATACTTTTCCCATTGATTTTTTACCATTTCTAGAGCCATCTTGAGGCATTTCATCAATCTAGAAATGTAAACATCGACTTAAGATTGGTTTAATTGTCATTTAATTTGATTTAGTTAATATTTTAAATTTTCACATTTAGTTGAGTCTGCTGACATATCTTGCAGACCATCAATGGCTATGGACCAACTCGCTGTAGAACCATTTCATAGGTAAATTACATGTTTGACGATCTTTAGTTTGATACGATTTTTGAGAATGGTTTATTTTCGGCGGTAAATTACTTACTCTTTACCATAAACATTTATCAATATTTTTTTCTATTTTCAGGCTATTAGAATAGACCATCTGCCGGAATCAACTAACCTGCATATCCATTATTGGATTCACGACCAACCAAGTCAAACCTTATGAATGAGGAGCAAGAATTATCCCGATCAGGCCAAACTTTTATCAAATACAAAAAACGAGTTTTCTAATATGGTCGCAAGGTCTCGGAAACTGGTGTACTTCAATGGTCTTAATTTGTTTATACTGATTTCTGGTACCAGAAACTAGACGGCTTTGAAACCTGGCCATGTGTGCTATTTCCAAGAGCATTAAGATATCCGAAATTGCTATCCGTTATAAAATCGTTGTGTCCTTTATTTTATTGGACTATCCTTTGGAAAAGATTCTTGGAGAACGCTGTTAAACATGGAATCAACTCTGTGATAATCATTTTCTTCCACCTTTACATGACTACACTTCTTGTTGTAATGAACTTGGTTTCAATTTGAACTGGATATTGCAATTTCATTGGCTCTGTTCAAGCTGTTAATCAATTTTAACAAATTTCACCTCGATTTGGATTTTCGAAAGCCATTAGTTTGTTACGATTGCAAGCATTTAAATTGAAAAAGAAACGGTTAATTTTTAAAACTTCGATGATCGAGGAAACATTTCCAATACCTTCATGATTAATATGATTGTTTAATTACTTATTTATCCTGTAAATTAAGGATAATTGATTTCAAGTGAAAACGAAAAAAACCAATAAGCAAATAATCATGTTAACCATGCAAATGAGGCAAGAACAACAAGAACATTTAATCGAACAAGAAAATCAAATTGTAAGTATGCTTTACTTTTTTTAATTCACCTTGAATTTAAGACGCAATTTAATTGATATTTTATTCTTCTTTTTTTCAGCTACCAAACCTAATCACCTGATAATGATAATGATTGGAAATATCAATAAGAGAAGTTACCTTTATTCAAATGGAAATCAAGAATAGCCTCTAAAAATGAAAATTGTTTTCAAATGCTAATTGATTAACCAAATTGTAATTTACAATCTGAAGGAGCAATTATACAAATCATCCAATATCCTTAGTGAATAACAGTTTTAATTCAACTATTATTTGCATTTCATCCAGCAATACCAACAAAAGAAAACAATTTATAAACAATTGGCCACATTTAACATTCTCATTGAATGTAAATTGTATTTTTACAATTTCCAAATTTAATTGCTCCAAACCAAATTAAAACTGCTGTAAAAAAAGCTGTTAATGTTAAGCTGTAAATCATGTAGACACATTACAAGTCAGGATTACAAGCAGGATTACAAGTCATTTGATTAATCGCCACCAACCAAGGTAATCTTCAACCCTTAAAGCCAGTCCAGAAACCAATGTTAACACTAATTGCTGATAATTATTCCAATCGACATCATCAAACCTAAAAGACGAAGGCAAATACAATTACAAATATTTTAATGTAAGATGCAAGCTGTGAGAAAGTAAATGCATAAAGCTAAAAATACAATAGGTTTTGTTGATTAAAATCAGCCCTTTGTGCTATCGATGTATCGATAAATTAGCATTTAAATTGTTTCGAGTATCATCTTGATCTTTTGCCTTGTTGATAATTAGTAATTTTCACCTTCAAACACAATGTAATTAAAAAACTAGGAGTTGATGAAGATGTTAAATTGTGATTTCTGTTGATAATGCATAAGAAAAAGATGAATTATAATTGAGGTTAAATCCTTGCTGCTTGTCAGATCTGTTAAAATTTTACTCTCAACAAAATTCATGTATGATTACAATCGTTATAATACTCTTATAATCATGTAATGGCTAATTGTGTGTTAACCTTAAATGAATAGCTTTTAAATAAGGTTAACAGTATCTAAACCTCTTAAGGCTATCATGGTTACACCAGCCAAGAGAGACTATCAATTTGAATGAACAGTCAAAATGAAAATATAAATAATACAAAAGCAAAATCAAGGTTTTTTTGTTGCTTTAAAAGTCAGATTAAGAGTCAACATTAACAATGTTCACAACATGTTATTACATGTTGGCCTTTTCTCACTCTTCATCTTCATCATTTATCTTCAATATCATTTCACCAATAAAGGTAAAAGTGAAAGCAAACCTTTCTCTTTACTGGAACATTAACCCTTTCATTTTCCTTTCTTCCTCCACAAACACTTATCATCATCATCAGCTGAACAATTAAGATAGACTCATTCCTCCGCCTTCAACAGGCGTTAAAAATTAAGCTTCAATATTAACGGTACAAAAATTATGGTTAATATGATAATGATGATGATCATGACTATCTGTTATTTGATAGTGAAAGTAAAGGTTAGCCCTTGGAAGTAAAGCTTGAGCTTTTCAAGTTCAACCTTCTCATGAACAAGATAAACTCCAATGATGATGATGAGAAGATAAGTCCAAACCCATCAATGGCTCACTTTGAACATTTTTTTCGTAAATCTTTTCTTCGTATATAAGAGGTTGAATTTGAATGAAACAACATATCACTTTTGATTGAACAATCAGTTAATCAACTATTAAATCAACTCTAACTCTTATTTTCTTTTGTTGTTTCAACATCAAATAAAAACAAAACCAAAATGATGATCATCGCAGTTGTCGCTTCACTCATTGCCGTCGCTCAAGCTGGTATCGTTGCCGGACCCGCATACGCAGCAGCTCCAATCGCCTATGGACCTGCCTATGCTGCACCAATCATCGCCAAAGCACCAGTCGTTGCCGTTCCCAACATTGTTACATCATACTCAAGCTCAGTCTCACATGTTGCTCCAGTCGCAGCTCCAGTTGTTGCCAAAGTAGCCGCTCCAGTCGTTGCTGCTCCAGCCTATGCAGCCCCAGCCTTCGCAGCTCCAGTTGTCCACAAAGTTGCTGCTCCAGCTTACGCTCCATACCCATACGCTGCTCCAGCCTTCGCTGCCCCAGTCGTCCACAAAGTTGCTGCTCCAGTCCTTGCTGCACCAGCTTTCGCTCCCCAAATCTACCACTAAATGTGATACTCTTCATTGTTAAATTGTTTCATCTTCTGTTACAATCACTGCCTTACAAACATGCAAATCGGAATTCAATACCTTTTACCCTTTTCCTTATCCAAACCCAATCCCAACATCCAACCAACACCCTTCTCCTTTCCCACTGTGATTCCAGTTTCAGTTGATTATCGCTAGTAAACACTCGTTGGTCCAATGAGTCAAATCGAATCACTTCACCGAAAAAATATTCACCAAAAAAAAGTTCTTCATTTAAATGTCAATATCACTCTTCTTCACCACTCCAATCTGCTCAACACTTGCTTGCCAAATTACATTTTTGGTTTTGTGGTAAAATATCAACTTCAATTGTTACCAACTGTAAACTCTGTAAAATCAAAGTGAGCAATTAATATATTGTCATTTAATGATACCAAAAACTCACCAAAAGCAAATAAAAGTGAATTAATTATTCCGTTATTTTTTGAAAACAAGAAAACAATTGAAACTTTATTTCTCGGTTATAACTAAATGAGTAAATCAATGATTCAACTTGAAAACGAGAGAAATGAGAAAAAATCAATTTAATGAAAAATTGTCTGAAAAACCAGAATCAGTTGAAAGATAAACTGCCTTTCAATTGATTTTATTCATTCATTTTTAATCAACTTCTAATGGTGAATATAGTTGACTAAACAACCCTTAACGCTGAATATAATAACAACTGAATAATGATATTTTGCATGACTTTCATGATAAACTATGAAAATGCATTACGAACAATTAATTCCTCACAGAATATTAAACATTTGACAAATTATATCAAAATGCGATCAAAAAGGTTATTTAGATGTAAGATAATCTTGTTGCCTTCAAATCACCTGATAACAGTTTCAAAGTCATTCAAATTCATCATTTCCATGCCATTGAATTTTTCGAGTTTACAAAAGAAAAGAACAAAAAATGTTCGCCAAATTGCTCAATTCATTCAATTTGCAGGAAAAATTGTTCAATTGTTTGTCTACAATCGATATAAATTTTCTCTTCATTTCCACTGAACTTCATGGAAATGAGCAAAAACAAGCAAAAACAAGCAAAGAAACTTTCATCAATCTTCTTCCAAATAGCCTTTCACTTCATTCAACCTCAGCAATTTGGACTTTATTCAAATCTTAAAATCAAATTTCGATCTTTAATCTCAGGAAAAAATCAAGATCAACTTTTGCAGAAAAATTTTCAACCCAAAAATGATCGAAGTGGAATTTACGAAAAAACGAAGTTTGTTTTTTTTCGATAAATTCATTTCCATTTCTGTAAGATTAACTTTTCGACTTTTAAATCTTTTGAGTCTAATGATCAATTCGCACTGGACAAGATGAGTGATGTCAATTGGTCTAAATTTGGAACTTTTGGTTAAAAGATTTTTCATTTTGTCAACATTTTTCACCTTTCACGCTTTGAGGTAAAAAGATTTGTCCATTTTGTGGATAATTGGTTGACCATTAATTTGTTGGTTCAATCGTTGTTTGACTTTTAATCACTTTGAGTTATTCATGGCTTGAACTTTCCAACCATCATTACTATTGCAGATCAAATTAAATGGAGTATTACATTTGGCTCTTTATATTACATTTTTTTGCGTTCCCTTGAAGCTTCAAGTTTCAGTTAAACCAACCATGACTTATGGTGAAACATTTACTGGACTCTTCATTATCTCCCTGTTTTCCCATCCAAAGCAACTCTTTCTATTATTCAGTGATTCAATCGATTCTCATACCTCAACATTAAAAATAATTTTCCCTGTTTAAACGAGAAAAAGAATGACAAAAGGCAAAGAGAAACAAAAATGCAAAACAAGAGGAAAAAAATGTCTCGTTTTAACCCAAATTTTTGTTTCCTTTTTAACCAGAAAAATTTCTCAACTCTAAGCTTAAAGTCGTGATAAATGGTGAACAAAATTGTTCAATGCAAGTTGAAAGGCGTAAATGAAGATTCATTCATGGAAATGGAAAAATATTTAAAGAAAAACTCGGCGAGAGGAAAAAAAACAAAAGATGAAACGAGAATCGATAGTGTTGAAGGGAAGAAGCAAATTGAATACATTTTTTGGCCATCATCACCATCTTTTGGTGAATCTTGAATTGCAATTGATTTGTGACTTCAGAAGAACAGGAAAAGAGAACGGAAAATGTTGAATGGCAAAGATGATGATAAAGGCCATGTAAGCATCTTAATGTTGAAAGAAAAGGAAGAAAAGAGAAGAAGAAAAAATGTTGAAACTTTTTTATTCCAAATATCCTTCGTTTCATTAGATGACTTCGCATCTTTACCATCATCATCAGCTAATAAGAATCAACTTTTGGAGGTTAAGTCTCGTAGCAAGTAGCAAAGTTCAGTAAGCTGTTCAGTGAGAAGAAGCAAAGAGATGAGAGAAAAGCAGAATGATGAGCAAAATGAAGAGTGGAAGGAATTTTAGTGAAGCAGGGAGAAGCGAAAAAACAGAGTTTCAAGTTATTCTCAGTTCTGACGATTCCCATAGAGGAACCAAAGAAGACCAAAGAGTCTGCCTAGCACTTTTCATCTCTTTTGCTTCTCTTTCAATCAATCTTTTTCTCATCTGTTTCAATGTTTCTCTCTGTTTCCCTCTTTCCTTTTCAAACTCACTAGTTCAACTTATGAAGAGATTGAGAGAGAAAGAGATTCTGCGAATACTCATGAAATTCTGTTCATGTTCCATTTCATCTTTCCCTCTCTTTTTTTGCCTTCTTTTTTCACCCTTTTTTCCCATTCTCTAACCTCATCATCATCATCATCACTCTCTGATCAAGTTTTTGTTTCTTTTTCTTCTTCTTCTTTTCTCATGTTTTATCATGTCATCTGATTAATTCCGTCCTGCATTGTAATAAAAGTTGTATTATAAGGTCATACTTGCAACCATTGATTAGTATATTTTCATTTGAATAAAAACAATAAACAACTTTCTTCTTCTTCACTCTTCTTCCTGCTCTTTCAGTTGTCATTCATTCATCTGTTCATTTTCATACTTGCACCGTTGACCTTTTGCCAAAAAATTAAAGTGCCTCAATTGGTTCATTGGAACAACATTTGTCTTCTCAACTGTTCATCAAAATCTTAACTCTGCTCATCATCAGCAGCTTCTTCTTCTTTACCCTTGTTTTCAGTTTTATTCACATTCCACTGAATGTAATATAATGTCCAAAATATTTAGCATCTCTTATACCAAGAATGGTCAACATCACCATCAACCTCAACACGATTATGATAGCGACAATGATGATAGTCGATCAATCGATTCAGGTGACAGTGCAACAGCAATTCGGATAAAAAGGTTTCCATTCGAGGCGAAAAGTCCCAAAAAAGAGATTTTTGTCCAAAAAGGTAAGTTTAAAAGATGAATAAAGGTAAAGCTTGTCAAACAAAATACGAAACTTTTCTTTGATTGCATTATTGCAAAAATTGAACAAATAATTCTGGTTCTTCATTTGCTACTGGCCTTTAGCTTTTCATGATAGCAATAGTTGGTACCAATCAAAATATCTGTGAACTCGAAGTCGACTCTGAGACTATCAAAACATGAAAAATGAATTTTAATGCATATGTACTGAATTTCCTAATGAATTTGTACGCAAAGATCAATTTTTGATGTAAAATGCAATTTAATCAGTTTATTGTTGATTGATAAAATTTTATCAAAAGATTCTAAAAAATTTCTGTTTCGATTGAACTACTCAGTTAATGCAATTTTTGCAGTGAAAAGGAACAGAATGAAAGTCAATAGCAAATCAATGTTTTATTGAATGACATTTTAATGAAGAAACAAATGAAGATTAAAGAGGATGAAAAGTGCAAGCAAAGAAAAGGGTTGAATTTCAATTAGTAAATTAACTTTTATTGGATTACAACCGGAAAGCATAATGGATCAACCATTTGACACTTTGACCGATCAATAAATTGATAATTATTTCCGTCTCATTTCATTGGGAAATCATGTATAGATTGAAATTGTAGTGGATTAAGTCATTTAAAAGCTCAAAGTTGACTTGATCGTCATGGCAAAAATCGTATGCATAAATAAAGAGTTGAGATGAGCTAACCACTATCAGAACAAGGCAAAAATGAAAATACAAGTACGCCTGTGTATACAATGTTTGTACAACTAGAGACCGTCATTCAGGCACAACAATCATAGACAGAAGCGTACAGTCCTTCCACTCAAGACATTGTCAGCTGAAAATCAAACAAATTTCTTAGCCACATTGCGGATGGGCTTCTGGAAAGGACCACGTTAAAATATCGGTTTAGTGGATTCTGCACCATCTATTTTAATCTTGTTTTTTCAATTTGCTGTATTCGAAGTCTTTGACTATTTTAAATAAAACAGAACCAATTGCTTCTGAAGCTGTGGAAATCATTTAGAGATCAGTCTTTCTCTGAATAATTTTTCTGAATGATTACAATAACTGAAAAAAAATTGCACAATCGAGAAAGATTGTGATGTTTCAGTCAAAGTAGTCTATACAAAATTCATTCAGCTAACTTTCACTTCAGTTTTCAGCTATAGCTCCCGAAATGTTGATGCTACAGACCTCAGGGTCGTGCCATGAGCTTCCACAGATTGAAGAACCATAAGTTTGTATGCTCAAGGTCATTCAAGGCATTTCGTTTTTTCTCCGTTAACTGGCATTTGGAGGTCATTTTCTGATAATCCGAAACTTTTAAAATGAGTGGATGTTTGTCACAATCAATCATCAAACTTCAAGCAAAAAATCAGAAAATGACCTGCAAATGTTCGTTAGAGGTCAAATAAAAAAGTTTGCTTCTTTAAAGTTGAATTTTATAGACAAATTTTCTTTATTTTCTGCCCGTTGCACGTTGCTACAGCCCTAATCCAGGCTGTAGATAGACCTTAAGTTAGCCCTGTTAGCGACAGAAACCCTACATTTCCACCAAAATTAGACTGTATAAATGCTGCATACGGTGAAATCAAGGTACATAGTGTACCAAATGTCACTATAAAAGACCTATTGGAATTTTCCGGATTTCAATAATACTTCTTCTGTCGGTAAAGAACTCAACTGGACAGACCAATTAGGTAGTAACGATTGGTGTTTTACGTTTCTCGCTCCCATCGAAGCTGCCTAGAATCAGATTCCAAGTGGTTAGTCAAATGGAACCTAAACTGCATAAAAACTTAATTCAATGTACAACGGTAGAAGAGGCAAAAGCGATCAATTTTTAGTGAAACTCAGTTGGTTGTAACAAACATCTACTCCTTTTAACATTTTCACACTATCAGAAAGTGACCGTCAAACGTCAGTTAGAAGTCAAAAAACGAAATCCCTTGAGCTTTCGAACTTATGGTTCTTCGATCTGTGAAAGCTCATGGAACCAAACTGAGGTCTGTAGCATCAACCCTTCTGGGGCTATAGCTGCAAACTGAAGTAAAAGTTAGCCAAATAGCTCGGTTTATGGAATCGGTTTTTTAGTTTGCATCTGGTGAATATGGCTTTCAGAAAGGTGTATAGAGATTTAGGAGATTTAGTTAATAATATAAATTATAATAGAAATGAAAATTCTTTCAAATGGAACACAAAAAGAGTTACTTTTTTCAAGCATTCCAGTGCATATCTGAAAATTTTGCTTGAAAAAAGTTCACACGTAGGCAATTTTTCCTATTCTTTTGGTCTTCATCATTAAATCTTTCAAATGTGTTTACTTTGGAAACAGAGTTGCCGATAAGTCAGAATCAAGGTGCGTTTGTTTCATTAAAACAAAAGTTTTGACAAGTTGATTGAAAGGGTTAAAATAAAATTTCATTAACCAACCTAACCTAACCAATCCGCTCTAATCCGATCACTTATTTCTGTCTTTGCAGTTGATGATTTAACACCAAAACATTTAAAGTTTAACCAGGCAATCAAAGATGCTCGAAACCTGAAAAACTGGCTCGATCGAAGTAAGTAAAAAAAGATTTTCCATCAATTCAATTAAGCAACAATGAGCGATTAGTTTCAATAAAAAGATGAATTTAAAATTGAAAAAAAAAGTTAAACCCAAAAGTCTAATTGAAAGTGAAAAGTTTTCAACCTTACCTATTATAGCAATAGATTGATTATCAGTTTGTTTTCAAATGAAAATTACTCTTTACAGCTCCATATTTAGTTGATGAACAATGATTCATTGATAGAGTCACAATTGACAATCAAAGTTTATTGAATTTTATTTCATCTTTTTGTGTGGAAAGCTCATTATTGCATTATACGGCCAATCAATAAACTTTATTTGGTCAACAATAATTGCTTACTCAAAGTCTGACCAATCATGCTGTGATTTGCCTTTTTGAAGCTTGCATTGCACTAAAAGGATACATCAAGTCTAAAACTGAGAAACGAAGTGAAAGCCTTGGCTCTTGTGATTCAATTGGTAAGTACAATTATCATCGTTTGTTCCCTTTTCATGTTCAATGCTAGTGAAAAGACTTTTGTTGAGGTTTTACTTTTGAAACTTTATTTAGTCTTATTTTCCATTCTTTAATGAGCCACCCTGCTGAGTATTAATGAAATGTTCAATAATCAAAATTGATTGAAAGTCTGCACAAGTTTGACAAGATTAAGGTCAAAAGAGAAATGGAAACTCGAGAAAAGAGTTTTTTTCACTCATTTTAGTTTCCCTTTTCCTCTTCCATTTATTATGCAACTCAATCATTTTTCATATTCATCGTGATTGATGAAGTGAACATTTTTTGTTGATTTACAATTTCATCAACAACTGTATTACAGTGAAATGAATACATCATTGATTCATTTGTTTCCATTATTGATGGTCAAACATTACCAATTAATATTGTACCAAATAGAGATTAAATACATCTTAAGCTAATTAACGTCCAAAGCTATTCTAATCAGTTTGTCTCATGAAACTTTAACTTGAATATTCGTAGTTAATCATCCAGTCTGTGCTTGTGTAAGGAAAAGGCTAAAGGTGAAAGCTTCGAAGTTTGTTTCCTCTTCTAAACCAGCACACGATGCTGTCATCTTTCATGATGCATTTGGCGGTTAAAAACGCTGATCAATGTTTGTCACACTTTTGGGAAACAACTTCGCAGTTGAAAACTGAAACTTCCCAAAATTTTTTTCGTGTTGAGGCAACATTTTGGCGCGACCGTATCTTTACCGTATCTAGATTATGCTTTAGTACACTATACTCACTTACTTTTTACGAAAATACTTGAGCAAAGCTAATATTACAAAGTCAATAAATATTTATTGGATATTAAAAAGGATTATATTGATTATTTATGATTTTATTATTTCATTTTTTACAACTTTTGTAGATTTCAAGTTTACAAATTTCAATTGATCATGTTAAAACTCATCATAAAGATATTAAAATTGTTTTTTTTGCTAATGCAAATTTGCCATTGATTGCTGGTTCAACCAATTTGCGTTGTCCACAAGCTGGTGTTCCCCTTTCTGTTGAACCAGGTTTTTCTCGGCCATGTATGTGCCGCATTACTGAGGATTTATAACCTCCTGTGGCAGCATATGCACAGTAAGGGCACTTAAAAACTTTAGATAATCTCTTTCCAGAACTCTTGGCAGATTTCTCTCGATGTATATCCGCTGAAACGTATTCCTCGTTGCGAGGCTGATGCTTATATTCTTTATTTAGTTCTAAAAATTTAGCATGTTCATAATATATGTCATATTTAAGAGCTCCATAGCATCGCCTATTCTTTCGAACCATATGCTGAACTTTTACGCGAAAAAATCACTTGGCTGATTATTGCATAGCAAGACCTTTTCCTTTAATGAAAATTGAATAGCAATGATTAGTAATTTTACATTAGGCAAAATTTTACAATTTAAATGCACAATTGAGTTACTTACCAATGGAGGAGTTCATGCTATCTGGGATGAAGCTGCTGTTATCTCGGATGTGGACTGAGTGTTTGGAGTTCCTGATGTGTCCTGCAATAAAAATAAGATAATTCATTAAATTTAGAAAAGAAAAGTAAGAACTTCTCATATTTCACTTTGCAGAAGATGATAAATGAAGAAAAGAAGAAATTCCACTCAGTTTATTATTTAAATTGATTAACCTTTGTTGACATCTGATTGGTGAAAAAGATATTGAAATTTGAATGGCGATTGAAAAACCGCGCATTTAGGAAAATATTTTCGACCATTCATGATACTACTTAAGGTGCTGAACAATATGTAATAGGTCTGATGTGGTCATCATAGGGTAAAAAAGAAACGCCATGGCTTTGAACATTTATTTTCAGAGGAAAAAAATTAAAGTCAAATATCTCAAAAAGTCGCAGGTTTAGAGCAATATGCATAGTATCATTGGAATCGGCATAAAAAGTCATCATACGCTCCCAAGGGACTTGCCGAATAACTCCCCAGGAGATGCGAATTTCCATCTGATTTTTAGTGAGGCATACTCTACACAACATGAGATTTCAATTGATATATGCTGCATTTTATTCTACATCTTTGGCCGAAAATCCAACATTTTGGCTATCCTCCTTTGGTTCAATATTGGGAACTAACTCTTCTTTGTAAAACAAAAGCGAGCTACTTATATCACTGCAGGCTCTATCCCAGTATCGATATCAGACTGAAAAGGATGAAATGTCTTGATTAAATCTCGAACTAAATGAGTTGAATAAATAAATCGATACAATTGATTGAATAGATGGCTTTTGATCAAAACCAGTGATTGAAAGTTCGTTTTAATTTAATGCATTTCCAATCTTCATCAATTTTATCACTCATCGAAAAATGAGCAACATCAATTTGAAATCGATTGACCTTACAAAAGATTGACTTTCGATGAAATAAACTATGAATATAAAGTCTTTCAGTCTTTAAGCCATTCTCTGGAAAAACGCTGATTGCCTTCTGCCACCTCAACCCCAAACTATCATAAGTGCTGCTCTACTCATTAGAACAGCCAGAAGTTAGCTAAGGTCACTTTCACCTTCGAAAAATTAAAGTGTTGCTTAAATCTTGAGCTAAATGGCACTAAGTGATTCACTTTTAAAATTGATGCTATGACTTGTTCAGGAAATCGAGTAAGGCTCAACAAATCGTTGATTTATTGGGAACATTTTGCTTCTCAACTTTTGGCCCAAACTTTTACTTCTCACCACAAGATGGCGAAACTTGATTCAACCAATTTATCTGTTCAATTGATTGAAATGCTGAATAAAACATTTTTATTGATTACATGTTTATGTATGCGAATCAAATGTATCATTGAAAATAGTGACACGGTTAACACAAATAACACGAATAGCATAATTTGATAATGAATAAACAGTGAAATTAACTATCAATTAAAAGGTAAATTAATTTCCAATTCAATTGGATCCAAACTGTTTGAGCTATCAAATTATTTTGACTTTGGGTTGATAAGAAAATTTCTCGTACAATAGTTTTGAAACGGATCAAAATACCCAGAAAGCGCTTTTTGAAGTTCAGTCAATATTGTGTTTTTGTGGTTTCTGAATGTCAATGTTCTGAATGAACATGACTGAACTTGTCACAATGTTGTGCTTTTCATTGCATCGTTATCAAATTGATCAATTTCAGTCTAAACTTCAATAAAAATGAATGTTTCCCTGATGGTGACAATGAACAATTGTTTCAATGTTGAAAAGACAAGCAAAAATAATGATTTTCTGCCATTCAATTGAAGCTTGTTTCTGTTTAGGACAAAGAAGAAGAAAAAACTTTTGCTTCAAATAATCTGTTCAACAGTAAAATCGTTAACATTATTTGGCTTACAGTTTGTGCCGTTGATGGCATGAAAGCCTTGAACAATAACTCACAATGATGATTATGGTGATACAATTGGATTTTATAACATTATTATAACACAATTGTTTGTAAATCTGGCCTTGAAAGGAGACTGAAAAGAAGATGGTCATGAAAAGAGAGGAAAAAAATATCTATCTGATTGAACATTTATGGTACAATGATTGACCAGGAAAAGTGAAAAAAAAGGATTAGAATGAAGACGATACAGAAGATACTTACAAACATCGTTAGTGAAAACTATTGAAAAAAGTCCAAAAGTGAGTTATTTTTGACAAGATTAGAGTGTCTTTCCTTAGTCTGAAGATTCAAGCATGATGGCCCAGCCATGAAGAGGATAAAAAAGATTGAATTACAAAAAGATTTTGAAGATTATGGAAATGAAAATCTTGCAATCGAATGCAAAAGGAAAAATATTTACCGTGGCAAGACGCTCACTGCATACAAAAGATGATGGGCAAGAGTGACTTGTTTAGGTTGAAGATTGTGCCTCTTACGACCAAATCCTGAAGTCGATCGAAGTGATGAAAAAAGTGAAATGAAGATCATGCTTGAAATAATGAAGTTACAAACCGTGAGAGGAGTCTAACTGTATGCAACGTTTGATGGACAAGAGCGAATCGTTTAGGTTGAAGACAGGTGTCTCTTGTGGCCAAACATGAAGTTGATAAAAGTGATGAAAATCTGATGGTGAAAATGATTGAAATGATGAAATTGATTAGTGGAACAGTGAAAAGGAACATATTATTTGACCGTAAAAGAGTCTAACTTTATGCAACATTTGATGGGCAAGAGTGACTTGTTTAGGTTGAAGGCTGTTTGTCTTAAGGCCTCATGATGAAAACGATTTCATCTGAAAACTAATCTTACAGACTTGTTAGATGATTAGAAGGATTTTCATGGATAATGATGAAGATGAAAAAAGATGAACCATTGGCCATTTTGTACAAAACTCATCAGCCAGGAAAACTCATCAGGGAAACTGAAATAAACACAAGCAATGTTACTTTTTTGTTTCATTTCACTTCAATCATCATTTTCATTTTCCTTCGCCTCATCATTACAGTATATTCCTTCAAATTACATTGAATGCTCTGTCAATCAACCATTCCTATTATTCCCAACTATTTCTAATCATTTCGTAACTTGGACTTTCAACGAAATGAATAGTCAATGATACGAAGCAGAATACAAGAACTCATGATTCCCAGTTTCACTTATTTACTAATACTAGACACAATCAAAATAATATCTTGAGCTCGTTCGGTTTTTAAATTCAACTCTGATCTTTTCTTGTTTTCAACTCAAAACAAAAAACTTTCACATCAACTGTTAATTTCATCCAGCTTTGATAAGAATCTTCATCTTCAGTCTTCATTCGGATAAAATCTTTTTATAACTCAATTATCTTATTAATTTGTTGTTTTTTATGAAAAGATTTACCCTGAAATGAAATAACTCACCATAACAAGAAGAGCAATTTAGCGTTTTTTCGCCTCTCATAACCAGGCAAGCTGCAAGAATGAACTTGAGTGTTTCATTATGATAATCTGGTAATAAACTTTAATGGCCATCATAATGATTTCAGTAAACTCG